ATTGCTACTAGGGTGGAGGCCATGGCTCTTAGGAACTCCCAGCCTCCCAGCTTCTGCCCCGCACGCGACCCTGGCCTTTTAGGTCCGACCCGCGCCCCAGCTCGGGCGCCTTCTCGCGGCAAGCCTTGAAGCCTCAGCAGCCGGGAAGCCTCGGACGTTTGGACCTAGTGATCCTTTGGATGATGCTTGGGAGGCCCCAAACATCACCGGAAAGTCTCAGGACCAGTAGAAGCACCCCTTTTAAAGCTCTGTTTTTGTTTTTTTTGGAACTGGGTTTTCCCACTCAACAAGCACAGGGTCGAAAAAGGTAAGCCTTGATTTTCCCGCTAGAACTGAGGTCGGTGAATTGCCCTGTCTGTGCCAGTGACATGTTCTCTGGTCGGTGTCACAATGAACTCATAGGCACCATTCACCGGCCTGGTCTGTTCAAATAGGACCGCTTGACACCACGAAGCACCGCTGTTTTCAGCACCATGTTCTTTTTGTATATATCTATATACATCTATCTTCTGGTGTTTCACGTTTGCTTTTTGCCTTTGCTCCTGCTTCTGCTTTTGCTTTTGCATTTGCTCTGGCTTCTGCTTTCGCTTCTGCAGTTGCAACTGGCCAGCGCTTCAGAAGAAGCTGTGCTGCTGCAACTGGGCAGCTTCCAGTAAAGAGCCTGTGCTGCTGCATGTGGCCAGCTTCCAAAGCTGTGCTGCTTGCAGTGGCCAGGGTCTAACGGCCGTGCTGCTTGCAGCCAAGACCCCGTGCTGCTGCAAGTGGCCCCATTCCAACGTAGCACACCTTCTATGAGCCGCGAAAGAGTCAAATTTAAAGGAAGAAGTGCCAACGTAGCAGGCCCTTTGTAGGAAGGCACCATTCCAACATAGTGAGCCACCCAAGAGTAAACTTCAGAGACCTTCAGAGGAACATGCACCACTCTATCCTAGCAGACCTTTGAATAAATTGGAAAGTAAACATGCAGATGGAGCCGCCCGAGGGCAGACTCCAGGCAGGGAAGGGGTCACTCCAAGGTAGCAGACCTTTTGATAGTATACCAGAGTAGTTTTCAATTATTCCAGGGTATATCCACACACCGGTCCACTGATGGCACCAAATATCCTATTCTTTGTGATCAACGATTGCAGTTGTCTGACTATAGTTGATAAAGTATCTTGGGGTGTGTCTTTGTTCCAACCCTGCGCCCCAGCATCCTTTGTTTCAGTCTCGCGGCATCTGAGGGTCTTTTCTTACGAGAGCCTCGAGGAACCAGTGGCCGAACCAAAGAAGGCCCGGCTATTTTCAGTCCCTGAATTGTTGAGTTGGTTGCCTTGAAGACTTAGGGATTGTGACATATCCAGAGAGCCAGATTGAGTCTGGCCATTGACGGGAACAAAAGTCTACATGGTGCAAAGTCGCATTGCATCCAAGAAGGGCAAAAAGAATGCCCAGCAACGTGTGAGTTGAAAAAGTGAAATGGTGGAGCAGGAGAGCCCGACTCCACAAAGTTCAATTGGATATGGTTTTCCCAAACAGTGGTTGAAATGGTGGAGCGTTTTCGATTCTCGATCACACTAAAGCCGAGAAAAAACCGAGAGAACAGTCTGAGTAGGCTCTGAGCATGGCCTTCTCAAGCAAGGCATACTGGAACAAACCACTTGTTTCTGGTTGGGACTGGGATTCCAGGTAAGGCCTCGTTTCGACCGAAGCGTCCCAACGTTTTTCGCCCGATCCGCTGTGAGGAACCACTTCCAGAGACACTGCCGGGCGCTGCAGGCGCCTTGCCGGCCCGTCTACTGCGTCGCCACAGCGACGTGGAAGACACATGACTCACATGACATGGGTTTTTCGAATTCGCTTTGGATGGTCCTTTTTTTCTAGCAGCAAAGGAGCATGTGTTATATATACTATGTAGATGAATCATGTTAGCCAGTAGAAGACGGTTATCTTTATTTTACCCCAGTGAGAGTCTTCGTTGGCCTTCACTCAAACCTTGAACCATCTAAGAGACCAGGAGAAGGTCCCGAACCGTCAGGCCTCAAGCCCGGCTTTCTGCTGGACGCGACGAATTCCACCGAGGGCCCCGCTGGCCCCGCGCCGACCGGTCCGATGGCACCCAGTGAGGTGCGAAGAGTCGTGGGAGGCACACAGGTCGCACGACGAGCCAGGTTGGCAACATGGTGATGAGACTTTCTAGATGAAAAGAGAGAAGACTAGGCCCAGGCGAGTCGAATTTGATCGATTTCTATATGAAAGAATCGAAGACGTGTGATGTTTGCATAGCTTTGAGTCACATCTCCACGCTCCCATGTCCGGCAAACGCATGGGTGGCGGCGTGAGGAGCGGCCGAAGTTCACTTGGAAGAGGGATGGCCATGAGGAGGAGAGCAGGCGACTGGGATCCTCCGAGCACGATCACGATCCTCTGAGCAAGTTCGGTCACCCGTTTTGACCTGCGCATTCAGGCTTTCTTAATGGTTTCAGGTTTCAAGATATTGGTCTAGAGATGTCTAGAGTTGTTGGGTCGGTTGTTTTGGTGAGCATGATCGTTGGAAGTCTATACCCATGTACTGCCCTTAAAGCCTAGCAGATGGCAGATCCGCTGGAGCTGCATTGCAAACAAAGCATTGGCCCGCAAAGCTTTCAAACCAAAAGACATCACTGTACCCCGTGGGTCGAGGTGTACCCACGGGGTGTCCTGGTACACCATCCCGCCCCAGTGGGTCCACCGTCGGGTGTCCGGGAACGCCTCCCCAGCCGGCGCCCGGTTCCGGTTGCGACGGGCCGAGAGAACGGCCAGGTCCGAGGACGGTCCCAGGTCTGCAGGACGTGAAGATGGGGGGGTGGTCGGTGGAGTTCATCGGTCGCCTCTTGATGAACAAGACGCAGTTCAGACATGGATGGTGAAACCATGTGAAACCCATCGTATGAGGGGTTGAACAGTTCTCGTATGCGTCTTCATCAGTCGTGCACACCGAAATCGAGGGGCTCCAGCCAACAGGGGAGCAGTTGGCTGGAGAGACCGGAGATTCGTAGGCTGAAAAGAAAGGTGGAGTTCCATCCTGCTTCCATTTGCAGACGAAACACGACCCGGCCATTCAATCGTTTTGCTGTGCTGGTGGCTTTGTGGATATACTTCTATGTGCCTTCCAGTCTTTGGGTTTGATGGGGTTTCATTTTTGAGACCACACCCCCCGTGGCCGTTTGTTTTGGGTGGTTTTTGGGGGCACCACTTCTCACGGAAGTGTCCATTAAGGTCGGTGCTTTGAATTTGAACCTGTTTGGTGGCAGGATACGCTCCAAAGCAGATGATACCTGCGGAGGAGGAGGAGGAGGAGGAGGAGGCCCACACGAGTGCGCCGAGCGTCACCGCAATAAGAGACACAGGACACCTCAATCTGTTCCACAAGTGCTGGCGCGACAATCCCAACACTTGAGCCGGGGCACAAATGGACTGTTTTTAGACCAAGCACCGATTTGACCAATGGGTTTTGAATTTTTGCTTCTTGTCACTGCCTGAATTAGGCTGAACTGCCCTTCCCCTGCTCGAGGATCCAGGGTTACCGGTTACCACACCGCGTGGACCATGTTGAGGCATTCAACACTGGGAGAGAGACTCTTGCGATCAGTTTTGGGCCTGAATTTGGGGGAACCTTGCTCGGCTGCCGTGTGTGCGGCTGCCAGGCCATCGTTTACTGCCCCAGGCAGCATCCACTCCGTCGGGGCCAGAGAGACGCTAAGGCCGCTAAGGGTTGTTTGCACACTTTGACAAGTCCTAAACTAATCCACACGCACATCAACCCAGGACTGCCTGACTATTATGCAATTTCTCGTGTCCATATTATATAGGTTACTTTTGGGGCTCCTGAGCTGAGTCTTTTGGTTGCCACCCCCACTCTCGCGGCCAAGGTTTGGAAGGTGCTCCATACGAGATGGATTGCGACCGCTGTTCCAAAGAGATGTTGGCAGGCGAGGAAGATGGACCGGGAAGGTTGAATGAATTCAAGCCATCCTTAATGTGTCAACCTATTATTTTGAGTCAAAGGATGTGCTGAATACATCAATTTCTGCCTTGAGTTTTGGACTACATCAACTTCTGCCCTGAGCTGGCATATTTTGGTGTGTGAAAAAGACATGGTCAATGATGCGTGGCGTAGTGACTCTAGTGAGACTAGTGTTGTTTGCACGCGCAAAGAAGTCTGGCGGGTCTGGGGGAGGGTCATGTTTCTTCTTCCTTCTTCTTCCTCTTCGTCTTCTTCTTCCTCCTCTTATTCCTCCTCTTCTTCATCTGATCAATCTCCATCACTTGGCATTTCAATTTCTCATTCTCCGAAGTCAGCCTCTGATCAACTCTTCTTCCTCCCCGGAGTGACCCTCCCTCCGCTCCGGCTTTCGTGTCGCCCTTGGCGCCTCGCCACTCTCAGGGCAGGAGGTCTGGTGGTGCGGACTCTGCGGTGCGGACCTTGGGATGAACGTCGTGAAACGGACGACGGTGACCTGCGGAGGGGAGGGGACGTCAACATGGTTTCGAAGACATGGCTTTTGCTTGAGAACGGGCGCCCAGAGGGTCTACCAGGCGCAGTGGCACATACTGGGGCGTCCCCCCCCCGAGCCCCAGGCTACAACCTTTGCAACGAGTGCCATGCTGAGCAGCAATAGCCGCGCTCGCTGCGCCGTGGTAGGCCACGGTCAGGAGCTGGAACTGTTTGTCGGCCAGCCCTGCATGAAAAAGAGGGAACGTGCCGAGCGCTGCCTACACCGGTGGTGGGGAGCCTCACCGAAAGACACCATCTGGTGAATGTGTTGAGGATGTCTGGAAAACAAAAGATATCACTTATTGTAGGAACACCTATCTAGAATCTAGAACTCTGCAAGTCTTGGGTTCCGCACTCTTCGCAGAACTGTCACACACCAGCTGGAACTGGTCCTCTTTCTTCCCCAAGCTCCGGCCACTCGCAGCAAACCTGGCTGCACTGTTCCGCGCACCGCCTGTGCCGCCGGCTTCCGCGCGCCTCGCAGGTACCGAGCGCCTGAGATCCTCCTGGGCTCCACGTCCTACATGAAGGCGGAGCGGCGCGGAGCGACGCGGGTCGACGTCGACCCGGTTCCCCGGGGGGTGATGGGTCGTCGGTGTTGCGACATGTCGTTCGGAGCGCTGGACTCAAAAAGGGGAGAGATCGAGATGGATATATAGCAATGATATATTTGGGTTGGGAAAGGCCCTAACTGGTTTCAAGTTTCAATTGGTGACCCATTGAAGGGTGCTGGTGTATATATATATATACAACACATATATATATATATATATCTTTAAATTCCTTTTTGCTTGGATGACCGAACCGGACTCTTCAATCTTCACAGAGTTTAGTAGTACAGTATTGTAGATGATACCCCGTTTCTGGAGCCTGGTGTCATTTATGCCAGGATCATTCGGGTGCGCTGGCCCTCTTTTGGTTAACCAGCGCCTCGTGCTTTGTCGCCATCTTTGGAATCCACCAGCTTCGGGTTGAGGTAAACTGATGGAGCCATCCTCAGGTGCTCCATGCTTTTGGTCAAAGCGAACATGTCGTGTCTTTCTCCAACCCACTGGATCCGTTGAAACTTTCCATCTTCCAGGATCTTCCAGGCCTTTAAGGGCCTGCCATGATCTCGTTTTCTTTCAAATCTTCGAACGGGCCGCGTCTTTTTCTTGTGCTTTCAGAACACCCCTTCGAAGCGGGACTCCCATGACCTCCAAAGCATCACCTCAGACCTCACGATCCGCATCGTGACCGAAGAACGATGGCCAGGGCGTCGACCTCTGGAGTGTGGGATGTATTCTTGGTGAGCTCCTTTCTGGAAAGCCCATTTTTCCAGGAGCGCAGGGAAGCGACGTCTTGGTAAACCGAACTGGTTCAGGGCGGGGGAAACTGGCGCCCAGACCTTTTTTCAGTAAAGGTTGTTCAGTGGTGTCTTCGCAGAGATCCATTGCGGGATCACATGGGATCACTCTTGAACGCCTACAAAGCTTGCAAAGGGCACGAGCAAAAACCTTGACGCCAAGACCTTTCGCTTGTCCACGGAAGAGTTCCAAAGTCCGGGAGATTTCTCAGAGGTTTCTGGATGTTCACGGATACTTTGGTCAGAGCGGCGACTACTATTTTGTCCCTTTTTGCTCTACTTTGGGGTCACCATCTCCCATCGTGCCACCCTTTCGCCTCCTCCTGCAGGAACCTCCACGATGAATCAGCTTGACCGCATCATGGAGGCATCCCCGGCACCGGACTTCCGCACCGCTCTCCGCGCCCGGGGCCGCAGCTCCGACGTGGCGCCAGGTGACTGGACGCCCCAGCTCCGAGGACGTCGACGCCATCAAGTCGCCCTTCGCGGTCCGGGGGCCTTTCGCTTCGGAAGGGGCGGCATCAAGAAGCAACGGAGAGAAGAGCCTCTCTATATATGTCCTAGAAGTCCAAAGACTATATTTAGACTTACTGAAGTAAAGGACATTCTTCTTCGTGTCACCTAAAGACTATTCTTTTTATAGTCTTTGACTCCCAGGGTATGTACTGTACTAGTACTGTTGTGAGGGTCAGGTCTTGTTTCCTGTTTGTTGCTGCTTCAGCACGGTCTCCACGTTGAACGGAGACGTTGGACTCCACCCCAAAAATGGACCAACGGGCCCGTCTCGCTCGACGGTGGAGTCTTTCCCTCCCAGGCGACGATGCTGGAGTCCTTGCCCATGAGCAGGCCGAGGCTGGCGGCGAAGACATCGACCCATCGAGCCGGGCGGCCACCGGCCTCGGTGGCGCGCTGGCGCAGAACGGCTCGGAAGGTCGGCAGCACACGTGCCAAGAGGAACCTTTTCAGGACTCTTCTCAGGCCCCCAAACACCTCGCTTGGTAGGGGTCCCGCCTGGGACATCTTGCACTACCTGTGTTTTTGGTGGATGTTCCTGCTTTTGTTGATAAGTACCAGCTGCTTCCAAGGGGTCAACCCTACACTGCTTACCCCGGTCAGATGCGACAGGACACCCAGACAGGAAGCGCTGACGCGTTCGGTAGAATCGAGCACCATTCTATGGTTGGGGCCGGGGTGGGCAACCCGCCAGGCCCTTGTTCACCTTGCCCATCTGTGCCCGTTTTTTCCCGCGAGGCCCTTGAGTGAGATGTTCCCCTCCGCTTCGGTGGAAGCACTGGATCTTCTCCGCCTTTGCCTGCAGCCTGCCACCTCAGTGGAAGTGGTGGACCGGAGGAGTCGCAGAACCATGCAGAACCCACGTTCCGCGACAATCCAGGTCTTGGATTGTGGATGGGATGAAGAACAAACACATCATTTCATTTCTATATGGCTTTCTCATGGCTCTAGGTTCCAAATACCTCCTGGCTCGACCCAGAAATCGCCTGCCTCCAAAAACGACCAGGAAGCGCTTCAAACGTGCTTCTGGTTTTGGCTATCCTCGCCCTGCCCGCGTCGTGCGCGAAGAGCGTCAGGTTCAACCCCAACAAGCGCATCACGGCAAAGGACGCCTTGCGGCACCCGTGCCCCGAGCGGGATTGAAAGTGACCCGAGTGATGGTGGTTGCCATCAGGATGGAAATAGATGCTGGGTGAGGGATTGGAAAGACACTTCCAGTGTTGTGAATTCGGTGATGTTCATCTGACAAGGTTGGTGGATACTTCGCTTTGACCCATGTTGAGATGTAACTGATTGTCCAAAACTGCGGCACCAAGACGCACCATCCGCGTCGAGGTATGTTGTGCAATTTCACAATCCCGATGACGAATTCGACTGCGACCGTGATGCCCTCAGCGACGAATTCGTCCGACACTGGCTCAGGATCAAGCCGGAAGCACGGCTCATGTTGACTTTAGGGTGATGGGAATGATGAACGCGAGCTACATCTCTTTGCGCTTCCAAGTGCAATCATTTTGTGCTCTCCGAGTCTATTTTGGTCGCGGCACCAGTCTAGATTGAATGACAGACACACCGGCCCAGTAACACGTCCATAGCTTGCCGTTTCATGTGAATTGCCCACATCTCCAGTGTAACTTGTATTGGCTGTTGGTACTGTGCAGTAGGATGTTCTTGGAGAGCTATAGTTGGATCAGATTTCAGCGACTGGCCCGCCAGTGGTGGTTCCTTTTGGCAGTGAACAGCACTTATATAATTCATGTTTCCCGGGGCGAAGCTTTGATCAAGCATCCATTTCTTTATGAGGCACGATTCGAATTCCCATCGACGACAACACAAAGCTTACTGTGCAGGACTGCCTTTGGCACCACTTGCTGTTGCTTGCAAAAGAAGCTAGAAGCGGTCTACAGATGTTCCGCCTCATGTGGGTTGACAGATGTTTTTCGCTGTTCCACCACAGATCGACATGATGTGATGTTGATTGATGAGGACGAGGATACTACATATTACACATTCTTAAAAGGGTTGGTCTACTGCAACTTTTGTTTGTTTGGAGGTGAACTGCAGGGTCGGCTGCTGGGAGAATGGGCATGAGAGAGCATGGAGGTTGCATGAAGGGCCCAGTCGATGCGATGCCAGGATTATCGGGACAGGCTGTACAATGAGGCAAGAGTTTTCACTTCTCCGGGATGAAGGGAACCTGGAACACACTTTCTTCGGACCAGAGCTGTTTCATGGTGCACACCTGCTTCACCCCGGTTTTGTTTGTGTACGGCCGGCGCAACATGTGGTGGAAGAGACCTACTTAGATGTGGCCAGAAAGTCGAGGTCCCACCCCCCGAAGCTTTACTGTAACGGATAGAGGAGCCACTCCGGGTCAGGAGTTGAGCATGTCCCCATAGTAAAAAGGGATGTCCAAGTGCGGCACTCGCTCTTTTTTTCTATTTGTTCAGCAGACATATGTAGTGAGTGAGGTCTATCTTTCCAGGGTGGATCTGGTGATGACATACTGTTGTGAACCACAGTAGTTTCATTACGCGAAACCCGTGCGGAAACGTGCATCGGTGACAGGTCCTTAAGAAGAAGAAGGAACAGCGCCGATCCCACCGAAGAAATCTGGAGATGCAGCAGCAGTCACAAACTGCCTCAGCCTTAATTCGGCTGCAATTTTCGACCCTCCCCATCAGCCCGAGCAGCTAGAGGTAGATGTGCACGCCACTGACTCTTTCTTTGATTGATTGGATTTCAGATGTCCAAACAGGTTTTCTCTTTTCCTATGCCAGTTTTCAGATGCCAGATCCACCATGGGGGTTTTCATGAACACACCAGGCATCCGGCATCTCTTCACATCCCATCCGTCCCTTCCTCCCGAGGCCGTGGTTTCACAGACCTACCAGCAGCCGGGTGCCGGGCACCCAAAACCTGCGACCCAGGCGGAATGTCTTCAAGGCGCAAGGAATAGCAGGCAGACAGATTTTAGGACGTAGAGATGCTGTACATCGCGAAACCGTGTTGTTGTTCTTGTTCTTGTCAATGTTGAGCTTTCTTGGTTTTTAACATATGGTTCAGTATGGTTGACATCGTTTTTTCTCTTGGGTTCATTTTTCCAAGGGGGACGGGGACAGTTTTGCGTTTCTCCAGCTCGCCGCTTGGGAAGCTGGTCGAGCGGCGAGCTGGTGATTCGCACTCCAGAAATCAAATGAAATCAAGGCAAAGAATCACCGAAAACATATTAAAACACCCTTATTAGAAAACAGGCTTTAAGGAACCTAATAGCGATGGCCTCCACCCTAATAGCAATGGGGAGATCCGGGACTCTTGGGTGGCCACCCACACGGTGACGCCATACGCCACGCCCCTCGCTGTGAGATGAGGGCGTCGGTCGATGAAAGACTTCCTTAAGACTGCGACAGACTGTGACCCAAGTTCTGAGGTTCCGCAGCAGTACCAGGCTCATTATGGGCAGGCAAGTGGGGCTGCCGCTTAGTCAATTTGTTTGGAGATTTCTGAATCAAGCATGGGAGTGCCCGTGTTGGGAGTGCTGCAATGAACCTCCTTTCGGACACATGGATCTAGATACTTCGAGTGAAGATGAAGATGATCCCAATGGTTTGCACCATCAATTGCCGTGGATGGCTGGCACAGGTCTCTTCTAGTGGTGCGTGTGAAGCCTGGTGAAAGACTGGGATGGATGCACATGTTGCGGAGCGAGGGAGAAAGAGGATCAGAATTGCCACTCATGCAAAGAGAGTAGGCAAAGCCAAAAGGAATTTTAGGAAAAGGAGTTGGCGAAGGAGACGAAGGACTCAACATGACGAGGCAACTCCTGTTCACTTCAGTTCCAGTCTTCGCTTGCTTCAATTCATTGAATTCTATGCAACAACATCAACAACAAGACCTCAAAATTCATCTCTTCTCCATAAAAAGCCTGGACCTGCCGGCCAGCACTTAGGCCAATGGCTCACGCGGGCACTGCTGGAGCAAGGAGCCTCAAAATTCCGTTAAAAGACGTCGTAGGTGCGGAGCGGCGAGCATCCGAAGCTCTGTAAGACCATGATCGACGACGCACATCGACCACTTCGGCACTTCTCTGTTCGGCATCCGGGCACCGCATCGCTGAGTCCCGTCGACTCGCACACGCCCCTTTTCGCCGTTGGCACGAGGGCACGACCTTGTGGGACCCCGTCGACTTCGGCCATGGCCCACTGAAGGAACACACCGGAAGCCGCATTGGGTTGGGGTGATGGACCGACTGCTACTGTTTTTTCTGTTTTTTTGCTTTGACTGCTAGATCCCGCATTTGCTTCAGCGGGCATCCACCGAAAAGAGATGGCCCGTCTAGAGTGGGAAGATGTTGGAAGGCAGAGTCCTGGTCTGAGCGTTGAATCCCAAGTTCTGAGGTTCCGCAGCAATACCAGGCTCATTATGGGCAGGCGAGTGGGGCTGCAGCTTGGTGGATCTTAACATGTTTGGGATTTGAACATTATTGAACCAATGGGCTGAACTAGAGTTGAGGGGTAGAGGTGGGACCTCTCCATGTCCACCTTGCGCACCTTGCGCACGAGCAATTCTTGGATCTTCTGTGCCTTTTTGGTACCAATGCAGTTAGTTGTCAGCTCCTGCTCTCAGACATTGAGTGGACTCTCGATACTTTGAGTGAACTGGTTCTCACCAGCAACCAACTCTGAAAACACCTCAACCCAAACGCCCGGAGATGAAGATGATGCCACTCGCACCAGTGGACCAGTCGACCTGTTTGGGGGCGTTTCACACAGGTCTCTGGTGGTGGTGCGTGTGGAACCTGGCGGAGCAGAGGAGTGGAAGATGCCAAAAACACAACAGTTTGCATGCAGCCATCAAGATCAGCAACACTGTAAGCGAGTCGAACAGTTTTTTTCAAGCGAAGAGAGAGAAGAAGAAGGATTAAAACACCTGGTCCCTTCTCAAACACCTCAAAATCTAGACGGCTAGACCTGCCGTAGCACTTAGGCCAATGGCTCATGCGGGCGCTGCTGGAGCATGGACCTCAACTCACTGCGCTCCCAAACTCGCGATGCTGACTGCACGACACCTGCGGAACTGGCACGGGGTGAACGGGCGAAACGTGCCAAAGCAGGGATAGGCAGGATGCTAAACAACCGTACCTTGTTTCTTTAAGCGGTTTCTTTACGCGGATATACACTTGGGGACACCAATGGCTGAGGTTCACCGCACCTCCCACTCTGGGTGCGGTCCCCAGCAGCAGTTGAGGCCGTGTTTCGTTTGGGGCGAGTGGTTCCAAGGTAGCGAAGGCAGAACCAGACTGCACAAAGGATTCCAGAGAGTGGTTAGTAGCTAGAGCTATTCTGGTCTGGTAGAAAAGAATAAGTGGTGCAGGACATCTCCTAGGATGCGCATCAGTTTTGTTCACATGACTGGCCTTTCAATACATAGGACCTGATCGATTTTCGAGGGGTTCCCTAAAGTTGAGACAAGGGCACTTCAGTTGAACGTGCTTGCGTTTTTGACCCCCCTACATCCGTCAAAAAGGAACTGGCAGAAGGCAATGGACCCGCAAGTATCCTGACCAGTTTTTCTGGTTCTAAGTGGTAAACTAACATCGGACTGGTCAGCTCCCGATGTTTTCGCATCGGGAGTTGGGACACCCCCGGGTGGCTCACCAGGGCACGAGCTCATGCACCCTGATGGCCGAGCTCACGAGCTGAATGGCCGGGGAGCCTGTGGGGAGCTGCGATGCGGTGGTTGCGGTGGTTGCCCCTTGATGGTTAGCTGAAGGCAGCGCTGTGGCTGTGAAGCACGGAGTGAAATATAGCTCAGTGCTTTGGTTTTTGACTTGGCTAAGCTTCTACTCTAAGTTTTGTTTTTTTCTTTCTCTCTTTCTCTACACTTTCCATACGTTTGTTTGTTTGTTTGTTTGTTTGTCTGGTTCTCTGACTTGTTTCTTATTTCCTGCGCTTGTCTTTACTCATTGTGTTTACTGTTGTGTCTTATGCTCCTCTACTCTTGGTGTCTACTCAGGTAAACCCGTAGCTCTGTTCCCCTCTCCCACTCTTCTCCGTTTTACTTTGCTGATCTCAACGCAGTCTCTATTTTTGTTGGGCTTGAATGACACCTTGTTGCCTTTCTTCCCTCACCTCTTCTTTACTCTCTGTTTCTTGTGTGTTCACAATGTTCACAGCTACTTGTTGATTGCCTTCTTTGCGTTGCTTTGCTTTTCTTGACTTTGGTCTACTTTAGAGCTCGGGTTTTGGCATCCAGGCTTCTTGCCCAATGCCCGACTCTTCATGTACCGGAAAGGGCTTGCTTTTATGTTTCCTCTACCTCTATTCTTTTCTCTAGTCTTCGTCGATGCCTCGCAGTACAACTTGGGACGAACCGGTTGGGACGAACGGTGCTGCACCGGTGCCGCGCTGCGTCTGAATTTGTGCAAGTACACGCTGTGCACCCACTTCGTTTGATCAGGGGAGATGGCCCAGCTTTCTTCTGACTATTACAATCATCCTTGGTGGACAAGGGTTGCTTTGCTGAGTACTCTTCATGCTCCACCAGTGGACCCAGAGACTGGTTTATATGGTCCTTTGCCATGGCAGGACTTCAGATGGGATCGGACCACCAAGCAAGTCGGTCAAATCCAAACAATTCATGGATTCCGCTGCAGCGGCTCCACCCATCTCACTCATGCTCCACCCCTCTTGAAACATCTGAACACCTCCTGCTGTGATGGAATGCTCTCTCCAGTCCCTGGTGGGTGGGTGGATACAGCTTGACAGCTTGATAGCAGTGATGTGACTTTTTGCCAACTGATGTGACTTTTCCAACCCAACGCAGCGCTTGATAGCAGTTTTGGATGTCAAACTGATCCAGGCCTTTGCGTGGGGCTGAGCTGACGCCGCCGCTGAGTGGTTCAGAGCTGACGCCGAATTAGAGTTGTCAGCAGTCAGCTGCCTCGCTCCAACCATGGGGGGTCGCGAAAAATCCCCTCCAATAATTTGGCGATTCGTGCAGGAGAAAACAGGAACGGGCGTCACACTTACGGTTCGGTGCGTGCTGGAAGGGGGGAGGTGCCTGAGTGAGGAGAACCTGACAAGTGGTCGAACTTGCACTACCCAACTAGCCACTGCATAGAAAGGGGTATTCTGGTGCCGGTCCACTAGTGCCGGAGATGTGGAGATGTATGGGCTTAAAGACAGCTTCAATTCAATTCAATCGTTTTAAGTTGCTAGGTTTGGTTGGTTAGGTTCAATGAACATCAGTCCTTTTCAGTGGTAGATACCGTCCCAGTAGCCGATTATCAGCAATTTTCATTGGAGGGTTGAGTGGACCAACCACTGCAAAGGCTCTCTTGCCGAAGCTGGCTTGAGCTTGGCAATTTCCAAACACGACAGAGATACATGATGTGCAGAGTGCTGCAGAGTCTCAAAGCATGGCAACTAGACTGAGTATCTTTCTTTTGTCTTGCATTACTTGTACAATCCTTGGCAGATCTATGATCAACCTCAGCCACCACAAAAGATCCGCAAAGCAGTCACAGTGCTACCAGGTACGCTTCAATCCGTCAGCAAATCCATGTGCTAAGGACAAACTGTACATTCAGTTGAAAACCAAGGTGTGTTTGCTCCACCCCAGTCAATGAAGCTGCAGCAAACCAGTCCACAAGAACCCAGCTACAGCTGAACAACATCCATGCAGACTCACACTCACAGCTCTTCATCGGCACGTCATGGGGCACTTCCATCACCTTAGGGTGCTCTCCAGAAGGAAAACCCATAGATTGCCACCCATGTCCGTCCATCCCGCCGTGCTCCTCCCCGCCGACGCCGGCGACGTCCCCGAAGACCTCCGCTGCGCGCTGCGCGCCGCCGCGGCGGCGGCCGCGCCGGGCGCGGACGTGCTGGGCCTCCGCGCAGCGCGGCCGTCGGGCGGCGACGTCTGGGTGCACCGGGCGATGGTGGAGATCCGATGTCCCAGGCGGCGCAGTGGGGGAGGGGCGTTGTAGTGGAGGGGGGATGAGAGTGATGGTGAGGGAGAGAGGATGAGAGAGGTGCAGGGTGGATTTTGGTTGAGTTCGGAAAGTTGGAAAGAGATAGGTGGATGACCATAGAAAGTTTTCGTATTGTGAGGAAGGTGAGTTCGGATAGCATGTTATCGCTTCTTTTTGGTAAAGCACCTGGATGAGGACTTTTCTGCATGGTATTCCCGCAGGTGCCTCCAGTTACTTGTCTCATCGAGAAGACTCTGCAGTTGGCTCAAGCAGGCGCTACAGTTGTCGCTCCAATGCTTCGTAGTCTCATTGCCAGGAAGTTTCCAAAACTACGACCACGAGCCCCACAGACGAGCTTGTGTCGGAGATGGTTTGCCAATGGTGAAGGCATGGTTTCAATTCACCGCCTGGCCGTGTACATACATGAAGAAATCAACGGTACTTTCGAGGATATCTTCCCTCAACTTTCTGAACGAGTTGACACCCTGGAGTACCCAAACAACGGCTCGTCGACCTTGGTGACGATGGAGGATGCGATTGTGATCGTCGAAGACATCGGTGCCCATGCGGATCGCTTGAAGACCTTCCTGGCCGATGATGAGAGGGCGGACAAAGCCATTGGCCCTTTCGAAGATGATTCAGAGGGACCTGGCTTTTCTCGTCCCCGCCATCCATGTCACACAGGCCGTGGTTTCGAACTTGGTGGCAATGCTCCGATACCTGTGGAAAGAGATGGGTGGAATGAAGACCTGTCAACGGAGGAGCTCAGGGCTAGATCAGCCAGAGAAGCAGACGGGATATGGTTCAAACCGAGCTTGGGGATGGGCTTTGAGGTGCACTCACGAAATGGCACCTACATACTGAAGCGTCGAAAGATGGACAGATTTCCAACCGATCCGGTTTTCAATGTTTGGTACCAGACACACATGAGTCCAGGATGGATGCCATGTGCAGGACAATGTGCAAATGGTACACCGCCGCGTTGGTGGAAGGTGAGCGACGAAGAGCCTCGCTTCCTCAATGAAGAGCTGAAGCGGAAGCATTGCGTTGGTTTCTGTGCCATGGCTCGCAGGGCAGAGACGAAGGCGAAGAAGGTATGACATTTACACCTCCACACTGCCCAGAATTCATATTGAGCCCCTTTAGTCACACGAGCAATGGGCTCTATCCACCGAAAGCGTGCGTGTTTCTTGGGACCAGCATCGATGCTTTTTATGCTTTTTATGTTGGTGAAACTGACACGGAAACTTAAACTCAAGTTGTTTGAGATAATACAGTACATGTAGAGAAACACAGCCATGCATATATATATATATATTTGTACACATTTTGTTGACGGTCATGAACCAGTCAATGCTTATGTTTGTGTACATGACTGTCCGCTGGTGGCCCAAAGCCCATTAATCTCATCCCGTGAGACCCCTACTGGGTCAGTCGCCCAAACAGAGACCGCACCACTGCTGGGCTTGCAAAAAGGCAGCACTTGGGCAATCCAACGTTTTCTTGCTATGTCTTCAAGGTGCAGTTCAAACTGGTTAGCTGTTATCCATTACGGTGACTGATGAAATATATATCTTTCATCATTTTTCTCAATGGACCCATGCTTCCCAAACCATGACATTCGCACTTGCTTGGCCTTTTTTGTTCACTCAGTGCCGATCTCCTGCGAATTCTTCAAGTCGAAAGGGCTCCAAGTCTTTAGTTGTCGATGATCAGCCATTTCATCTGGATGCACCTGGCAGGTTGCTTGAAGATGAGGGGAAGAAACGCCAGAGGTGCGAGAACGACGAGGCGGCGTGGATGAGACGGTTTGACAAGTGTGCGCCAAGCTAAGCTTCAGTAGGCACTGGGAGGAGTCGGATTTTTGGGAGACTGACCCGGTGGAATGTTGACACCGTTTCTTCAGGTCTCAAAGACCAAGTTCAACAGGTCTCAACGAGTTTCTTCTTACTACCCAAACCCTTCAACTGTTCCTCGTGCCCACAGGTCTATACGGGTCTCAGGATTCTCCGCCCCAAATCTTGATCATTGATTCTTGACCTGCTCTTCCTTTCTCAGTTTTCCCTCCCAAATCTTTATTTATCACCTCTCATCCTACTTGCACCTTCACCTCTCGACCGACCCAACTGACCCTCTTCACTCCGTCGTAGGCCACGCAGATGCTTTCGCTGGACGTGTCCCTGGACGCCTTGCGGCACTTCGTGGAGTACCTCTACACCGACCGCCTCGACGGCGATTTGGCCGTGCCCCTGACGGCCGAGCTCATGCGGCTGGCGCGCGAGCGATGGCGGGAGGCGTGGGGGGAAGGAGGGGCCGTGGCGAGGGGTGGGGGGGGAAGGGGGTGAAGAGATGCCAAGATGCTGGGGAAGGGGTCCATGAACTTGCCAGTGTAAGAGCAAGATAGTTTATTCATACATCCATTGATTGATCATGATTGATCTATACCATGAACTCCTGAACTCCAGCTTCTTTTCATTGACTTGGGCAACAGGCACCGCAGCCAGTGCTACTGGGGGGTTAATGACCAGCCCTCTCTTGAGTTCGAGACTTGCTGCCTTTCCGGTCGCCTTCGTCGTCCCCAGGAGGGCGACTTCTTCTCGCCCGGCCAGCGGCGCCGTTCTCCGGCGCCGGAGGGGTCTCCGGAGCCGAGCGGCTCCGGAGACCCGCCCGGGCCGCGCTGCGCCATGCAGCGGCTCTACACCCTGTGCGAAGCGACGCTTGCTGCGGTTGGATGGCAGGGGAGGGTTGGATGGAAGACGCGTGCCGACGTGATAATTAGGGCCTATAATTAGGGACGTGGCTCCTGAGGATGGTGATGACCTGTGAAGTTTAGAGTGGAAAGGAGGTGTACAAGCTTCATCAAGCTTCTAGTGGGGTGTGTGTGGCTTCAGCGCCTTTGAGAGAGTCTGGAACTGTGAGGATTAGGCAGAAACTGTATGAAACTGTGGTGACATACAAGATGGCAAAGTAAATCCACTCCACCAAGTGGATTCCTGCTTTAAGGGGCCAGGAGAGTTCCTAGGCAGCAGAATTCATTGACTTTGCAATATGTTGCACGGAAACCCTTTTCTCCACTGCGCAAGCAAATGCAATGTGAAGGATCCAGCTGTCCATGGTCAGCCGGTCAGCTACACAGACAGTCTTAGACACCTACAGAGCTGTCCACAACAATTTTCCAAGCTAGATAGGAATTTGTTGGGTCTGTCAGTCTGTCCTATTACCTGTAACAGTATTTTGAACAATGCCTTAACTAAAGCGAAAAATCCACTGTTACTGGTAATAGGATAGACCCAAGGAATTTGGAACATATTGGAATTGTTTGATTGAAGGACTGTAGCTTCTAACTCTTTCCTGACCTCCTCAACCATCTGAGGCACCTCTTCTTTCGCTTAAGCATGGAAACTGCCGTGGAGATCTTACTGGTGTCAATCCAGGGTAAATCGAAGCCTGGATGCCTTGGTTTTGCTGTGCTTAAAAGCAAATCAGAATCAGTTGATTCAGTTGATTCATAAATCAGATGTGTGTCGCTGAGATGTCCCCTTTGAACCTGTCGATGGAACATGATGGAACCTGGCCCATCCAGTTGAAGCTGACATTGACATTCTAGACCTGCGCAGTTGGCCTCCAGGAAATCCCTTGAACAGAATGTCTACAAGTGGTTCGCGCGTGAGAAGCCCGCCTTGGACATCTCCTTCAACCGCCACCTGATGACCGCCCTCAAGGACCATCCCGAGGAGCTGGCGAAGGCCATTGCCGCGGCGGCAGGCGAGGCAGAGGATGGGCACGGAACAGGGTCGTGTTGGTGATGGCAAGGCGCACAGTGCACGCAGTGCACACACGTGTTGGCGTGGTGGTTTTGGTGATTGGGACAAAGGGCAGGAAGAACATGTTTTCAATCACACGGACAATTTCTTTCCTGGCCATCCATTTGCCCCCAAAATGACAAGGAACCTTCCCATTATTGGCACTCCTGGTTGTTTTGGTTGGATGCTTCCATTGAAGTGGTCGATTTCGGCATTCTTCGCACCTACCCGTCGCCAGGGAACGACCACCTCAGCAGCGAAGCGTCGAGGGCGGAGGATGTTGTGAAGGCACCGCGCGGTGCGTGTTTTGTGCGTGTTTTGTGCTGAGATGCGCGCGTTTGTCACACTGTAGAAAGTGGTGAATTCTTCAAGACTTTGTCAGAGAGCAAGAACTGTACTGGTTTCTCTATGAAAGGAGCAGGGGTTCACCACTGGCTCATTGAACATCCTGTCGAACAACACCAAAACATACCAGCACATCCCATCCCCATCCCCATTCCATTCCACCCTTCCCATTCCACCCTCCAGTCTGGTAGAGTACTCCCTCCCCTCCCTCCTCCCCCCGCAGGCCTTGCCTCCTCCGCGTCTGAAGTTCGATCTCCTGGAGCTCCTGGCGTCGCCGGGCGACTGTCGCCTCGTGGCCGAGCAGCTCGACGTCTCGGCGCATCGCTTCATGTTGGCCGCGCGGTCCAGGCGGAACCGGTTTTGTGGAAGCGGACGGGGGGATCCAGTCAAAAGTGTCATAGAGTCATATGTTTATGAACAGCATGGCTCAGATGAGCACAATTAAGTGAATTGGTGGAATATTGGCCCATGAACAAGACGACTACTACACATCTGTTGTGAATGCGGTCGTTTGAGCTGTCACACTGTGCGAAGAGGTACTTTGCGTCCATGCTGGCGAGCCCCATGCGTGAAGCGCGGACGGGTGAACTGCCAGTGCAAACGGTGCCCACGCCCAGCAAGAAGAGTATCCAGGCCAGCCACGAGCTCCGTGGTGTTCCGGTTGTGGCCCGGGTGTACCTAAGACGGAATCGATTGAACTAGGCCCTAGGAGAGAGCTGGAATCCAAAACCCAATCACTCCCTTCAACCTCTTCCTTGACTTCAAGACGGCTTTCTTCAAATCCTGTTTTGGGCACAATTGTTCCTTCCCACCACCTAAATATGTGAACCAAAAAACATCAATATACGCACTACAAAGGCACAAGCACACCACATCGTTTTTTCCCCAAAAGTCTGGCCGACTGATTGCCTTCTGTGTCTCCTTTTGTGTCTTTCACCCATCGACGAGGCCCTCTTAGAGTTCCTCTACACCGGGAGCCTGACGGCATCCATCGAGTCGCTCCGCCCCGCGGACTTCATGGATTTGCTCATGGTGCTAGATGAGGGTGGTGGCGACTGAGATGCGAAGATGGATGCGAAGGGTGCTGGAACGGGGGGGGGCGGACCTTCAATGAAGCAAGTTGCAGCATGCGCAAGTTGGACAATAAGACGGGGTGAATTGAGCGAGTCTTTTGCTGTGCTGAACTCTGTCTGCGCTGTGCGGAACTCAATTCTCTGTCGGTGTTGGTGAGAGGTCGAATGAGTGAGTTTGAGATGGTAGGTTGTGACGGTTATGACCAACGACTTTTGTTTTGCTTGGACTGCATAAGCTATCCCACTGATCTTCTACATGACGGGAAATAAGTAAAATACAGGTGCCTGCATTGGAAGCACCTATAGGAGATTTCCAAAACTGCCACAGAAGCCGGGTCAATTTGGCTTCCGATTGAACTATGGGGGTCAGTGAGTAGCCCGTGTCTCCGCTGTTCGAAGTCTCAACAGTGCCTGCATGGACCTGAAAGAGGATGGCAGGGGGTGGGCCGTACTGCTATGTACTGCCATGCAGGGCCATGTGTTCTTCCATGTTCTCATCTTCCCCTTCGAGACGAGCTCACGCCGTGTTTGATTCTAGAGATGGGCTCTCCTAAGCCACCGAACGCCGAGGTGAAAACTATTTGCAATTGGCGCCCGAGACTTACACTTCCCTTCGTCGCAAGGTGGAAGGCCTGGTGGTGGCCAAGGTGGATTCGAAGAATATGTGGATGATCCTGCGAAGAGCCAAACTGCTGAAGAACCCGGACATCTCCGCCCATGCGCTGAAAAAGGTTCCTTGTTTTTTTGGGGATGGGATTGTGTGAACATGGACCTACAGAGCAGATGTGTCGTGTTGCAACAAGGTGCTTCCTATAAAGGTATAGAGATGTCGTGTGGTTCATTCGTTGGCCCCAAAAAACATCTGCTCTGGGGCGCCAACGAGTTCTTTCACTTTTGGGCGGCTGGGCGCGTCCGTCTGGTCCGTTCGGATGGGAAGCTCCCGGTGGCGTCACCTCGGTCAGAGGGGGACTCAGAGCTAGGCCTAGGTCTCTGTGACATATTGGAACGTGGAGGAACACCTCCGGTCTTCACCAAGAAATGGAACTAATAAGGCAAACTGCTTGAACAATGATTGAAGGGATCATCTCAGAGTGATGAGGGAATACTGGATCCTAATATGTACGGAGATCCCACTGGGATCTTACTATGCACATCTATGCAGTATGCAGCATTTGTTTAAATGAGGTCTCAATGGAGCACAATCTCTAATCGGTTGTACATCCAAAGAAATCTTTGTAACAATCTTTTGGGATCTTTTGGGTCTGACCTGTAGAGCCCTCGGTAAACAAGAACATCACTACTTTAGAGATGGATGTCGGCCTGCAACCAGGCTCCGTCATCATCCACCGGGCCCTGGGAGGTTGTTATACATATACCCAAATGGATCTTCCCTTCCAACGACGGCGGAAAACGTCCACCCAGGTGGTGAAGAAAACCGACTTTGAGGATGCAGAGAGCTTTCAGCAGTGGTGCCAAGGGCGAGATCAAGGTCTTGTTTGGTCCGAGCAGCTGGAAGTGCAACTACTTCAAGATGTCCTGAAACAGAAGTGTAAGCAGCAGCAGAAACTCAAGCAGAAGCTTCAGAAGATGCTTGGTTTTTCCGGGGTTTCGATACTGAACTGAACCTTTGAAGCACTAACTACACCTGTTTTCGGTTCGCCTTGATGTTCGTCGCATGAGGCCCAGCGAGCGAAACCTTTCGGCCAGACCAGCAATGACAGTTTGCACCCTGATTTTACAGATGGGAAGACTCAAACCCGACGTCTCGCGACGACCGGACCCTCATCAAGTGGGGGCACCGAAGCACCTCGCGACTGACCTGACCGACCGCCGACGGCACCGGCCGACGGCACACCGACGGCACCGAGGAGGGTGGAGGCTTGGACCCTGCAGGTGGAGAAGCCCTTCCCGGAATCTTCGGGGGTCTACAACTGCCGAGGGCGACGGTACCTCCTGAGATCCGACACCGCGGCCGGGGCGTTGGCGGGCGAGGGGGGGGGAGATGGGAGCGGAGCTTGAGGGCTATATATTTATGCATTGGACACCTTATAAGAAGAGGACAGGTTGTTGGATGAACAGTTACAGAATCCATCAAATAAAAGGAGCCCCCCACGCGGCCCGCACGCGCGCGGTCGCGCGGTGCAGGTGGGTTCGGCGTGTGCGAACGAGATCGGCTCCATTTCGGCCATCTTCGAGGAGGAAGTGCGCGCCACTCGGGGGCACGAGCCGTTCAGGGTCGGCTTTGCGCACCTGATAGATGTGATCTATCCTTAGGAGCAGTGGTTTCCTTTATGTTTGGGTTGGGCGATTGTTTTTTTGGTTGAGACCATGATACTCTCAATCATAATTCGACATCATTCAACAATCCTTGCCAGATACTCTCAATCATAATTCGACATCATTCAACAATCCTTGCCATGGGGCTCCCTACACAAAGAGCCCGTGGAGGACGCTCCCGGCCCTTTCAAAGCTTTAGCTGCTAGCACTTAGTCTGAACAATTTCCCCAGGCAACAGAGCTGATGACTTGGGAAACTTACAGAATAGAATGACCATACTTTGGTCAACCCTGCCAGCCATGCTCACCCGAACCGCCGCCGTGTCTCGCCCTCTCGCGCCCAGGTGCGAACAACACGGCGCGGGTGTGGTGGGCTTTGTTGGGACCTTCGCAACACGAATCCTCACGTAGCTCACAAATCCCTTAGGGGTTGTGGTAGGGGTCGACGCTGGAAGGTCCCTGCAAGTAGGATGAAGTCGGGTCTATGAGAGTCCCACATTCTGTCAGATAGCAGCACTCTCATGGTGAATCATGACATAAGTGCTCTACCGAACACCCAGCTTCAGCCATGGTTTCCTCCTGCTGGTCTCAACCGAGTTCCTTATCAGGTGAAATCCATCCCTTCAGACGAAGACCCCCGGGCAAACCCAAACCGAAGCACACCAAAGCCTCGTCTCGACCGAGCTCCTTATCAGGTGAAATCCATCTTGCTGGCCCCGCTGGACCGCTTCGGCCCCGACGCGTTGCGCCGCGCGGCGCTGCAAGTGCGCGGCTCGTCGGGCACCTGGCACGACCTGGGGCCACTGTCCGGACAACGGCAGCGGGTGCAGGTGGGAGAGAGCGAGCGCCGGAGAGCAGAGTGAGAGGGGGTGACGTGCTTTCTTCATCGTTTGGAGGGATCAGAGTCCTATATAGACTAGTGTGACTAGTGACTAGAGATCTATAGAGATCTACAGTATAGAGTACGTATCCGTATATGCCACTTTTTAAATGGTGATCTTTGTCCTTTATAACCTTTGTCCTTTTTAACCCCGATTTTATTGAGCACAAGGTGGGTATGGGCTATGGGATCACCTTTTTTGTGGCTGGGCGGATCCATGCATGGACGGTTCTTGTTGATGCCCTTGATGACAACATGGTACCACCCATATTCCTATCCTCGCCCCAAACGTCCAAAAACCACACCCTGCAACGCTCTCCCTCTCCCTTCCTTGGTCCTCCGTCCTTTTTGGGGAGGTGAACCGCAGTGGGAAGCACTGGCGTCTCCATGGTTTCAACATCGCCGTCTCCATCTTCCGCTTTCGACTGAAGTCCCACGACAGTGCAGCAGCGCCCGACGCGCCGCACCGCGACGCCGCTCGGCGCGGGCGCGGCGCCGCGCGGGAGCTGCGGCGGCGGCGAGGTGCGCCGGCGCGGAGCGTGGAGGTGTGAGTTGCTTTGGCCGAAAAAGCGGCGAAGCCGCTGCTTTGGCCGCAAAGTCAACACGGCTTTGGACAACAAAAGGAACAGGCCACCCGCAACTTGAAATGGAAGTGGGAGCGGAGTGCGGTAGAGCCGCGACGTGGCTGGAGGATCAGACTGTTCGACATCAAGATGCGGCGTGTGTTTCTTCGCCTCGGTGATCTCGGTGTGAAGTCCGTTGGAGTCTCTAAAGCGAAAGACCATCTTGTTTATATAGGCAGACAGTGTGCCTTTCATATGGCCCCCTGAGCTTCTAGTTTGGCTGTTCATATCACTATTATCACTCTCGGTGAAGGCAAAAGGGCTCTATGGACACCGGAAGGTTTGGGGCTTCAGTAGATATCATCCTGTGATCCACACCTTGGATGACTCGCTGTAGAGCGTATTTGTGGCCCATTGCTACACCGCAATCGAAGCTGGTTTGGAACATGAGGGAAGGCCGGGAAGGCCTGCAGACCACTCCGAGTCGGTCTGGCCACATGTTGCAGCTGCCGGCGGTCTTGCCAAGACGCGTCGCTGGGTGCCGTGACACGGAAGGGTGCGACACCCAGGAGCAAACCTTTGAGCCAGAGGCAAATGCAGTTCAACATGATGGCCCTTGGAGTAGGCTACAAAACACCCTTTAACAATAATACAATATGCATATATATATATATATATATAGAGATCGTATAAGTGAACCGGCATCAAAGATTCTCCAATGGGACTTCACGGAACAATATGACCGCAACTAGGCTATCCAAGCTGTCCATGTGTAGGTGCTGAAAGTTTCATCAACATTAGCGATGGAATGGCCAATGACCTCCTTCTCTGTAAGGTGCTTGCAAGTCGCCATCATGTGTAATTAGAGTGCAAAATGTGTAAAGCGTCTTAAAGATCAACTCGTCATTGTAAATCGAACGCGGCTTTTTCTGGGTCTGACGCCAGCATGCTTTTGTTGCGTGGCAGTCCTGAAGCCAGTTGGATTTGGACATCACCATCCAGCGTGTAAGACTGGTGAAAGATTGTTCACCCTTTTTCACTGAAACCACACTTGGCATACATCATCCTCAAACCATGCCAAGTAATCCCAGCATCCATCCGACTGCAACCCCTCCGGCTCTAAGACCCTGCCGTTTCGACTCTGATGGCCCAACGCTCCCGACGTTCCTCGATCGGAGGGCCTCCTTGGATGGACGTTTTGGCGGCTGAAACGTGGGAGGCTCCCGCGGTCCCGCCGATCTGAGACGTTGATGACCGGATTGCCGTGAAAAAGATCCGTCTACATGCATATATAGAAAACAATTTCAACAATCTGTACTATCTTGTGGATATATAAATAAGACGTCTATTTCCTGAAATAGACAACCAGCTAAACTTTCAGACACTGTTGCTGGTACTGTATCATTGATATTGCGCCACACTGGGCCGTGCAAGGGCAGTCCCACTTTAGGCCGGGTCGTCTTTTTTGGTTCAGACAGCGTTTTCTGCCTGGTGCGTGCCGCCATAGAGTTCCTCTACCACGGTGCAAGATCTTCTCATGGCACCGCCTCGTCAAAGTCCGATTGCTGGGCAGCCGACTGAGGTGACTTGTTTTTTCTGCTTGGTGGGGCAACGGTTTGAAGCATTGTGGATTTTGTGTAATGGAATTGGGCTGTTTGGTTTGCCCAGGATTGATGCATCCCATTGTTGTTCATTTATACACGGAAGTCTTGCTTTGATTTCAAAACGGTTTTGCTTTTGCCGCTGTGTCCGCCCGGTTGCCGCCCACTTTTTCTGCGCCCCCGCTTTGTAGTGGAAAATCCGTCTCCGAGGACGAAAGGGAACGATTGAGGCGGCAACGGGATGAACTGTTCAACCGCTACGGGCGCCGCTGGATCGCTGCGGAAGGGCGTCTTTCGTGGACCGTGTTGGAGCGGCCCCGAAGTGCCGAAGCCGTGGAGCCGTGGATCGGTGCCATCGCCGGGCTCTCGGAGGCGGTGCTGAGAGCGGACCTGGAAAAGGCGGACGACGTGCTGAATTTGCATTCCAAGTACAATTCCAAGTATTATCAAGCCTTGCTGGAGACTTTGAAAGGAGAGCTTCTTCCGCAGCGTTTGACCGCCCTGGCATCCTTGAGGCAAACGGGAATCCCGGAGGCCGCGGAAGTCCTTTGCCTGTTGCTCTGGGAACTTTGGGCTCCCATCGCAGATGGCAAGTCCAAGCTCTGTGACCAAGAGACAATACAGTTGCAGCGATTGCTGGATTTGATGCAGAAGGCCATCGCAGACTGGGATCGAGTGAAGAATTCGGGGCAGATCGAGTGGTGTGGCCACTTTTGCTCACCCATTTGGTCCCTCCGGCAGAGTCGTGGCGACGGTCCTCCGGGTCGTGTGGACTACGACGTGGCCTTGAAAGATTTGAGAGATCTCCAAGAAAAATTGAAGGGCATTACTTCAAGGCAGCTTTCAGTAGGTTTGATGGAGTTGAGGGATGTGACGATGAGTTTGAAGGAAGAAGTGAAGGAGTTGCAACAGGGTAAGTTGCAGATGAAGGAGGAGTTGGAGAAACTTACTTCGGAGCACGACACTTCGACATGCCGGATGACGGAGATGGACGACAAATTGAAGAAGATGGAGCATGAATCTTCAGCCGAGAAGGAACTTCTCAACATGAAGAAAGATCTGCGTGAGGTGTGCATGAAGTATGGCTGCTTGACCTTTAACGGCAACTTGAAGAGGAAGAGAGGCTTGGGTGAGGAAAAGCGGCATCAAAACGAAGAGGCCAGTATTTTGTCCAGTGCAAGCTCAGGATTTTCTGTGGACACAGGTGGCCCCTGCTGCTTTATGGTCGATGCCGTCTTCGAGACACCCACTGGCTCCTTCTTGAGTGGTCTGCAGTTGTGCCTAAGCTGGAAATGCATTAGAAGCAATGCAAGATCCTGATGCACCACTAGTACTGAAATTATAATCATAATATCAAGTCCCAGCACTTAGGAAGAAATGCAAACGTTGATCCTTGCACGTTTTGAAGGCGACTTGGGTGATCCGTTGAAGAAAGTAACACCAAACTATTGAAGCCGACTTAGTCGGCGTAGCATGAAGCATGAGCCTCACTGCCTAAGGTCGAAAGGCACTGAGATCCTCGCGGCCGACAGGTCCACCGTTTTGAAGGTCGCTTCACCTCCGGAGCTGCACGCTGCCTCACGGACCGTGATCCTCAAAACACAGGAAGCTAAGCTTCAAGTGACAACGGACCACCGTGTCGTGTTGCCCCCCGGTGACCTCCGAGGTGGCCTCGCACCTCTTCTGCAATCGTTTGTAGAGTGTAGAGTTTGTAGAGGGATTAGAGGGTTGGTACAACTAACCAGGTGGATGTGGCTCAGAATATGAAACTCAATCTGTAATCCGCCGTAATCCGCTGCCTTTAATCTGTTTATCGCTTCACATTTTGGTTGGTACCCCTGTACCGCTTTTCTTTTCTAGCCATGGCCACGTTAACATGACCTATTTTCAGACGACAAAGGAGGGCCTCTTGATTTCTCTGCAGGTATCCGCGTCGCAGCTGAAAGTGGGAGATGAGGTTGTGGCTGACGGCATCCCCACGAAGCTGACCTCAGTGGACTTCGTCCCAGGTGAAGTGCCAGTGTTGAAGATCACCTTCCAGCCGGACAAGCCAGTGGCGGTGTTTGATCCGCAGCCGTGCATCCATAGCCATGGGCACAAGCCCAAGAAGATTCATCGTGGTGGAATTCATTCTCGCAGGGTCCAAGAAGGAGCAGATGCTGTCAGTATCCCTGACACACAGGGCGATTATTCGGATTGAAACTTGGCATTTTCTTCAAACGTCGGTTCAGGTGTATTTATGCGCAGAAGTCGTTGCTGCATAGTTGCTTGTGTTGAGCCATCGAGTAAAGACTTGCCATCTGGTAGAAACAGTGGGTCATTCGTTTCAGCAAACTGTGGGGTTGTGCGCCCGTCGGCTTTGCAAAGGAGCAGAAGACTGCTTGGACGATTATGAACAATTAATTGGAGCGTGAGTTGACGACGCTGAGTGCACTTCTTACCCTTCAATTTGCTTCAATTGGGAGCATTAGGATGACAAGGACCCCATGACGCATTGAAGGCTTCTATGGATGGATCCTGCCTATGTTTCTTTGTCTGTCCTTTGGTTTAATGTTTTTTTGTTGCATGTTTTGCATCTTGGAGGGTGAGGAGTTCACAGCCAAAGAGCCATGTCCGTTGCTTTTGTCGTAGGCGTTCAGCTTTGATAGCCGGTGTTCTTAGCATGCACCTTAACATCAGCATGTCTTAGACATACAGGGGAGAAGTGTTGAACTGGTACTATGGTCTTCAGGCTTGGAAGGATTAAATTGACCTGAAGTATCGAACATATTAAACAGATTTCACTGATTTTGGGTTCTGAGCTGGAGTTCGGGTTGTTGTGCTACCATCGGCGAATAGCTCCGTTTGCAAAGGGAACTTCGTATCCTCCTGAGCCTCGAGTCAGCGTGAACAAGAGAAATCGCTGGAGTTGTTCTGCAATGGTTTTTCGTCGCCCATCGAGAGGTTAAGTGACTTGTAGCTCAGGCGGTGCGAAGTGGCACAGGCTCTGCCAAAGGGCGATGTCCAGTGCTTTGTCGTTCGCGTTCAGCTTTGATAGCCGGTGCTCTTTGCATGCACCTTAACATCAGCGTGTCTTAGACATACAGGGGAGAAGTGTTGAACCGGAGAGCAATATAGAATCTGTTTATTTGACTGAATTGTACGGGTTTTGGAAGGGTTAACCGGTTAAACGGACCTGAAATACCGAATGCCTTGAACAGCTTGGCAATGCTTTTGGGTTCTGAGTTGAAGCAGCTGGAGTTCGGGTTGTTGTGCTGCCATCGGCGATAGCTCCTTTTGCAACAAAGGGCACTTCCTATATCTCCCTGAGCCTTTGCGTCAGAGTGCTCTAGAGGAGTCACTGGAATTGTTTCACAACTTTTGTTGGACAAACAAGTTGAGAGGTCAGTTGACCTGCAGCTCAGGTGGTGCGAAGTGGCCCTGTAAGAGAGTGCCAGAAACAGTTGCGCACGAGAATTTTGACATGATGCACACACACACACACCACATCCCTCCGGAAGAGGACTATGCCAGCAGCCTTGGAGTCGGCTTGACCTTTAGCGAAATCCTTTTTTGAACTTAAGGCCTTTGTTTTCCTCTGTACAACTTGATCCTTCTCATGTTCTCTTTATGATCTGTTGGGGCTCCGTGGCCATAGTCCAGCCATATCAAGCCTTCTGGGTAGCCCTCCTGCACTTCTTTACTTGGACGAAACAGGGAGGATGGGTGACTTCTGAGTGTAGTAGCGACCGATGCCAAGCTTGTCTGAGAGATTGAAATGGGAGGTAGGTTCGCAACTCCAAATGCAGATGAAGCGCGCTGTGTCTACGCTGTTTGCTGCTCATGAAGGCTTCCAGTCCATGGATTCCACCGATGTTTCTTTGTTTCCCAGCTTACGTTCAATGTTGCATTTGTTGGCATCTATGTAGTTTAAGATTAGACGTCTATTCAGACAACGCATCTGGTGAACTTGGGGGGTGAGGAGTTCACGCTTGGCACGGGCACTGCCAAAGAGCCATGCCCGGTGCTTTGTCGTTTGCGTTCAGGTATGATAGCTGGTGCTCTTAGCATGCACCTTAACAACAGCATGTCTTAGACATCTAGGGAGTGTGTTGAACTGGATAGGTCTATGAAACCTGTTATATACTATGGTCTTCAGGCTTTAGAAGGATTAAATCGACCTGAAGTATCGCACATATTGAACAGGTTGGCAATGCTTTTGGGTTCTGAGTTGAAGCAGCTGGAGTTCGGGTTGTTGTGCTACCATCGGCGAATAGCTCCGTTTGCGAATTTCGTTCCACCTGAGCCTTGAGTCAGCGTCCAAAAGAAGAACCCTTGCCCTTGACTTTCTGTCGGACGATAGCAGATTGTTGACACCCATTGAGAGGCCAAGTGACCTGCAGCTCAGGTGGTGGGAAATGACCGCGTAAGAGTGTGCCAGAAACGGTTGCACACAGTAGTTTTGACATGATCTGCGTATTTTGAGCGGACACTGCATCACCTCAAGAAGAGGGCTATACCACGAGCCTTGGAGCCGGCTTGATCTTCAGCGAAATACTTCATTCTAACTGAAGGAGTTTGTTGTTCTTTGTTGTACTTTGTAGCTTAGTCTTTCTCATGTTTTCTCACCTTGGTACTCCGGGGTCGTCAAGCCTTCTGTGCCGCTTCGCCGTCCAGCACGCCTTCGCCTGGACGAAGAAAGGAGAGGAAGCTGGATTCCGACATGACAAAATTGGTCTTAGTGTTCTATAGACTCAGTGTTCCAGATACGTTCACTCATCTGCATATGAACTGGAGCCTTCCAAACCCTGAGGATCTATATACAGTAGGCTAGCTTATGCCATATACAAAAGGCTCAACATGGCTCAACTATGGAAGATGTGACCTTTTGTTCTGAACACATCTCGTTTAGGAAGCATCTCAAACCGGACGCAGCTGGGCTCGGGCTCCTCTTTCCCCTTCGTGCCGCCCGGGACTCGTCAGGTCACTGCGAACGACCGAGTCGTGGGAGAGTCTGGAGTCTCGGTGTCGGGGTCGGAGACGGGTGGGTGGCCGGTGGGAGTTCTACATGTGGAATTGGATCAAGTTGAAACTGGTAGTAACTTAGTAGATCTTAGTAGTAAATAATAAAACAGGGAAGGTGTGAAGGAACAGTGGCGCATGATCTTGGCCAAGCTGTACGCCGTACAGGCTGTACATGCTGTCAACCATGAACATGTCCTGGTATTGTGTTAAACATGCAAATTGACTCCATCACCCACTTGTAGACAAGCTCGCGCCCCGCGTGCTGCACCTGGTGGATGTCCATCAAGGTTTTGGACGAATTCAAATTTAATTAACATAATAAGTTATATGTCAGTTTTGGTGCTCGGCTGTCAGAAGTGAAAAGTAGATTTTAAGCTTGTCTGGGGCATGACTGAACATACAATCCGCTGATGGAGGGCATGAGTGGGGTGAGCAGTTGCCCTGCCTTGGCAAACTTGGAAAGGACGCTGGAAGCTCCAGCAGTTTTCTCAGAGTTCAAATCATCCAGGAAAAAGATAGGAAAACACCAAGGGTGCTTCTATTGCAGCCCAAAGATGAAGATTCGGTCTGGTGGCTTCGGCCAGCGACTCTGATCGCCTAAGGCTTTGGCTGAAACGGCTGAAAAGCAATCAAGCTGGAGCAGTGCCTGAAGCGTTTGGTGCCCAGACATTGGAATTAGGTCGACAGGTCAGAGTTTTTCTTTTGCCGACATCCACTTGTTTGTCTCCGGTGTTCTGAGTGGACTGATCTTCAGTGACATGGACTCTTTTGCTCTTCAAGTCTTGATCGATATCTGGAACTGGATCGACAACATGTAACAACTCTGTGGATCTCTGTGGCATCTATTGCTGGGGGGGTTCTTGGACTATTCAGAGTCGAGTCGGTGACAATACGGTGGACCCAGATGTTTTTTTGTATTTTCTTCTTTTTCGCATGAGGATGATAGCAACTGGGAAAGGGGGGATGGTGGAAGTCTTGTTTTGGGTCAAGTACGGTCAAGAAACTATTTACACAAAGAGTCATAAGATGAAAACAAGACATCCAGAAAAGAGTCCAGAGAGGCTCTGTTGGCTCTTGTTTGCTGGTGATCCATTCACAGATCTTTTCCTGTAGGCATCTTTTTCCTCTTCCAACCCCCACATCTATCGAACTCCATCGACCTCCTCCCATCTGAGGTGCACGTGGAATCGCCCTCGAAGTCCGACCGCGTCCGGCTCCCAGAGCTGATCGGCCTTTCGTGGCGCCTCGGTTCCGGACTTCGAAGCGGCGTGGCGGGTGAGTGGCATTCACAGAGCTTCCAATCCCAAGAATGTGAATCCAGGGCCTCAGCAGGGTTCAGCCTTTCTTAAGCTTTGACCAAAGGCCAACTTCTGAAACCTGCTTTCAAAGGACGGACGCCTCTACATGCTCAAAAACGGCGTTGGGGAGGCGGATTTGATTTCAACACCTGTGTCGTTGACTCGAAGATGTTCAGCTTGTTCGGGGCAATATATTGATCATACAGTCCACAGAGAGAGGGCATGGGGCATGGGGGGAGCGGTTTGTGCTAGCACACTTGGAAAGGACACAGTAAGCCGCACCGTTCTTGAAGAGATAAGGTCTAAAGGACGCAAACATCAAAGATTGTATTACATGACTCTGCTCGCCTGAGGCACCGGCTGAAACTCATCAAGCTGACCAGCGTGGTGCCCAGAAGTCAAAAATCTACAGGGCAGTCTCGGTCTGCTTTGGTCATCGGCAGTGACTGTTCTTGTTTTTGGGCGACATTCCCAATTTGCCCCACTGTGGTAAAAGTGGAAAGGACGCTGGAAGCTCCAGCAGTTTTCTCAGAGTTCAAATCATCCAGGAAAGGGATAGGAAACGCACATAGACACACAAAGGGTGCAGTCTAAAGGGCACAAATTCAATGTGGTGGCTTCGGCCAGCCACTCTGATCGCCTGAGGCTTTGGCTGAAACGGCTGGAGAAGTGCCAGATCGACGCGCTTGGTGCCCAGAGAGTGGAATTGATCCACGTGTCAGTTTTCAGTCAGCTTTTGCTCAGCTTCACAGGCATTCACAGATTCTCTTGGCGGACATCCAACGATTCCAGGTGAATTGGTTGGGGGGTGAGTTGAAGAAAAGACAAGGTGGTGCCACTTACGGGGTGGGTTCTGGCATATATAGGGGGATCGCAAGAGGCTGCCATCAAACGGCTCACTCCCGGTACTTATAAGCCATGATTGAATTACCCATGGATAATCATGGATACCAATCGTAGCATGCCCTGTTTCAGCATAGTGGAGTCAATTAGTGTCGCGGGTGGATTGGTCGCTTCGCTTTGTTTGTCTCTAGTGTTCTGATTGGACTGACTGACGGTTGAGTGGCGTGAACTCTTTTGCCTCGAGTCTTGATCGATCCAATCCATCGAGGCCAAAAAAGAACTGGGTGGATATCAACTCCGTGGCCATTTTACGCGGGGTTGGTCTTGGACTCTTCAGAGTTGGTCTTGGACTCTTCAGAGTTGGTCAATAATTAGGGTCGACACCAAAAAACATTTTTTTTCACATAAAAGGATACCAACTGGGAAGGTAGGGGGATGGTGAGAGTCTTCTATTAAATCAGCGTAGCAGGGTGAAGAAACATGCAGACACTATTTTCACAATGCGTCACAGCAAACCAACGCAAGGCATCCAGAGAAGAGTCCAAGGCATTGGTTGGTGATCATATTCAGTAGGTTTTTGTTTGGCATTTTTTCTTCCCCTTTTTCTAGCTTCCCGTCGGATCGAACATGCACCGTATTCCGTCTGAATGGCATCGAAGTCCGGGGCGTCCGACTCGCGGCATCGGCCCTGTGGCTCGGTTTCTCTAATTCGCCCAAGAATGTGAATTCTTTGGAGGTCCTGATGGGTCATGTGGAGTCTTGGAAGACACAACGCACAATCAGTGGACGTCTCTTCAGGCGGAGCCTTTATGGTGCCTTCTGTGTTGAATAATGAGTGGACTGACCTTCCGTGGACTCGTTTTGGGGCAAAATACGATATAAGTGACTAAAATTAACCACTTTTCAGACCTTCAAGTCCTTTTTTGGTGCTCTTTTTGTATCGAGCCGCACCTAGCGCCAAGTCGAGGCTTCGCACGGAACTTAGAGAAGGATTGGCCGATGCGGCTGGGAGCCCTTGAGACTTCGGAAGCCTTGCTGATTGAGCCCAGGGCGGATCTTCAGACTCGTCAGACTTGGCCTTGGTTGCATCCCATAAAAGGGCCAACCAAAATCATGGGTTGGTTGGTGGGGATGGCAGGGATTGGTGGATCATTTTGATTGGGTCAAGAATAAGAATGAGGCATCCACAGAAAGTCCTTGGTTTGCTTGGTGATCTGTAGGTCTTCACTGTTAGCATCTCCCTCTACCAGCTTTGAGGTGAGTGGATTGCATCGAAGATGGGGAAGAGTGGCCCGGTTCCTTGTGGAAGGAGGCGATTTGCCTAGCGCGGCGTTCATATAGACCAAAGAGACTAGAAGAAGAGCTTCAAATCTCAAGAATGTGAATCCAGGGTTCAGCCAATTCAGCCATTTACTAAGCTTGTTTGCCTAAAGGCCAACATTTTTGTTCAAGCCAGCTTCTCAAAAGCACATCTACATTGGTATTGTGGGAGGCTGATCTGTTTTTGGTGTGAAGATCATAGCTAGGTACAGATAGGTAGCTTGACATGATTGCTTTCATGCATGAACCCGCACCGCAGCTTGACTCAAGCGACTTGCGTTGGAAACACCGCGTGTTTCGTTGCGCGTTTGCCCCGCGTTTTCTTTCTAGCTGACGCTACCCTGTGCACTCCGCATTGGTAGCGGAGCTCCTGATCTTCGATCGGGGGCTGATGGCCGAGCATGCAGGCTCGGGGGCGGCAGCCCATGAGTGGGAAGATGCTTCTTCCCAGACCCAGGCTGCGCCTGGAGAGGGGTCGCCCGCGGCGACCCCCAGGAGGATGTCTGCGGCATCCGATGGTGCAGTTCAAGGAACGCCACAAGGCACACCTGGATCAGCACAGTCAGCCCCGGCAGCGCCCGCAAGGGTGGCAAAGGTAAGGGTTGGACACCTTCGATGCCACCTCCGCAGATGCCTGTTCCTCCAGCGTACACCCAACCGTACCCGGCCATGTCACAGCTGCGATGGGAACAGGACGTCTATGGGCATTGGTGGTACAGCGATGGACAACACTGGTGGTATGGCCATGGAGGTTCACATCGTTTCACTGCACCACCGGCAGGACCCATCCCTACTGCGACATCCAGCATTGGAGCTTCTTGGCAGTACGTGAACCCTGAGACTGTACGACATCCCTCAGGGCCCAAGAAACCACGAGATCCGCCGGCTCCCAAGAAGTCATCCAAGCCGGATCAACAGAAGAGTTCACCCAACAAGAAGAAGTCGCCTGCCAAGGATAAGAAGCAGGCACCGCCTCCTCCTCCTGATGATGATGAAGATGACGATGATGATGACAGCGAGGGCGGAAGTGATTCGTCCTATGAGGAGGTGGAGTTTGAGGAGAGTGAAGAGGAGGATGGAGAGTTCACAGATGATCCAAGTGTGGCAGCGACCCCAAGAGGTACTCCAAGAGCTGCACAGACGCCAAAGGCTGCTGCCAAGGCGAAGCAAGCAGCAAAACCAGCTGCAAAGTCAAGACCGGCGGCGCCGGCAAAGGCAAAAGCTGGGAAGGCTCGCCCAGCAGATCCTCCGAAGGATCCACAACCGCCGAAGGCCTTCCATCGAGCGGCCAAGGTTGTGAAGAAGAAGCCCAAGGTCGAGAAGGACCAAGATCCGCCTTCTGCACCGCCCTCAGGTCCACCATCCCATGGTGGCTCGGCAGCGCCGTCGGACATCAGTACTGTGCGTACTGAATCCATCAAGGAACTGCTGAAGGGCAGGCCAGGCAGTTCAGGTGAGCGCAACCGTACCAACCTTGGGCAGGTCAAGCTCGAGGTCTTCAAGGGCGACAGGGCCCATTACAGGAACTGGATCAAGACGATTCAGGCACAACGGCAGCTATATCAACTTCAAGATGAAGAATTGGCCGTTTTGATGTTCCTCAGTTGCGAGGGCGAAGCTCGTGAAGTGCTGAATCAACTTGAGATTGAAGACATGAGGTCAGCAGGAGGCCTCAATCGAGTACTTCGCCTTCTCGAGGACGCCTATGGTGCAAAGGCTGATGAACGCTTCGAAGAGAAGCAATCGGAGTTCATGTCATACAGACGCCTCCCAGGCCAGAGTGCGGCGGCCTATCTGGCCACTTTGAAGAGGTTGAGAACAGAATACCTCAAAGAAGACCCTGGCTCAGTGATCTCAGACAGGGCATTCGCCCAGAGGATGCTGTCTCGGGCCGCGCTCACTCGCAGAGAACGATATGATGTGTTCTTTGCAGCCGGAGGTGCTTACAAGTCTGCTGACATCGAACGGGTGCTTCGCTTCAGGTGCAGTCAACTTCACTTGGATGAGCGCAAGCCCACAGCTCATCGAGAAGACCGCACAGCACCAATCCGCAGGCCGCCGCCTCGGAAGTCGTTCAAGCGAACAGACCGCAGGGGTCCTTACAAGCCGACCCGCCATACACACTGGGCGGATGCAGAGGACGACTGGGAATACGATGATGAGGAGGACTCCTTCGGAGACCCAGACAATGAGGATCTGGAGCATGAAGCCCTCATGGCAGGAGGCATATGAAGACGATGAGGGCTACTACGATGACGATGACGAGGACCTGGACACGGTGGATCGAGGTGCCCTCCAAGAAGCTTTCTCCGCCGGCTGGTCAGCCAAGTCCAAGACGGCCCAACAACGCAAAGGCCGTGGCTACAAGGGAGATGGCAAGCCAAAAGATAAAGGAAAGGGCAAGAGCAAACGACCACCAGATACCAGGACTCCCGATGCCAGGAAGAAGAACTCCACCTGTGCCAGCTGCGGCCAACGAGGCCATTGGAAGGGCGATGAGGTATGCCCAAATGTCCGCTCAGGTAAAGATGCAGTTCACCAGAAGCGGGATAATGAGGCCCACTTCACTACGGGCACTCACAAGGGGCAGCGCCACCCTTCAGCAGGACCCGCCAGGCCAGTGAAGTCTGAACCACCGCCTGAGCGAGAGCCACTTCGCAGGAGGCCGCAGCCCCTGCCAGACCGGCGGCGACCGGCAGAGCCATCGTACCCACCTCCGGAAAGGGAGCGAACGGGTACCAAGCGCCGCAGCGACAGGGATTACTATGACAACTACGACGATGAGGCGCCGAAGATCCCTGAGCCGGGTACAAAAGGGCTATCGGCCAAGATCAAAGCTCGACGACCAGGCGAAGAAGAATATCTGGTCTTTGATGGCATCCAAGATGCCATTGACAGTACAAGAACGTCACCGCCTCCATCTCCGTTGATGAAGCCCCGTCCTGCCAAGCAGATCTGGCCCAAGCCACGAAAGGCCAAACCTCAGCCCGCGGCAGAGCAACAGACCAAACCACCGCCAGCGGCAGAGAGAGAGGCAGCAGAACCGGCACCGCTGCCGATCCGAGACGCAGAGAAGTCTCGAGAGAGGCGACGGCGTCGCCGGTCAGAAGGTGAGCCAGGTGAGGCACGCCCGGAGGGTGAGCACCGGCGGCGCCGGAGGAGGAGCAAGCCTGAAATGGCTGAACCGGTCGATCTGACAAGACCAGCTCCACCAGAGGCTCCAGCTCCCTCAGAAGAAGCTTCCAATGCCACCGAGGCAACAAGGGAAGCAGCAGCAGATACAACAACCGCAACTGCTGCAGCGGAGGCTCCCGCACCTACAGAGGGCACCAGTACAAGGCAGGTCAATTGGACCATGATGCATGGATGGGAGCGAATCCGACGGTACCAGTCCGATGATGAGGAGGTGGATAGCAGCTCAAGTGCAGCCTCAGAAAGTGAGGAAGAGGACCTGGCCTACCACCTCAAGCTGTCGGAGAGTTCGCAAGCCTCCCAATCCAAGCAAGCAAAGGAGAAGATTAAGGTAAAGCTTCTCACGGTGCTGCGCTCACTGCTGGAGGATGAGAAAGATGAAGAGACCATCCAGCGGCTCCGGAAGAAGGAGAAGCGCCTTGCAGAGCGTGCCACAGCCAGGGCTACCGGTGCAACATCGAGCACAGAAGCTCGTCCAAAGGCCAAGCCCAAGCACAAGAAGCCAGAGCGCTTGGAGGAAGACGTTGGCCTGAGCACCGAAGACCTGGTGAAGCTGCTCCCCAAGATGTCCAAAGAGGAGAAGAAGATCCTCTATAAGCAGCTGAAGAAGGACCAGGAACGTGAGATCCTCGAGATCTTTGGCCGCTCAGCAACCCCGGAGCGGTCCATGTTGAAGCGCCCTGAGCAGCGCAAGGGCGGCTATGGCTACTCCACGCCTGATCGACGTGGCAAGGATCAGGTTCAAGAGCCACCAGAGAAGCAGGAGAACCTGCCAACTCCAGTCAAGAAGAAGAGATTGGAGGAGTTCCGCAAGTCCTTGTACGAAGCTGCGCTCGACAAGCGAGGACGCTTGAAGCCATCAGAGGCTTCGGACATCCCAACGGCCGACCAGGAGGCGTGCCGCCACAAGTTCGATCGCCTGGTCTGGGGAGCAAATGCCCATGCACATTGGGCCACATGCAAGGACTGCAAGCTGCGCAAAGTCCTGTACTACAGCACAGTCCATGGTGCAATGGCAGCCACGGCCGCGCCGAGCTGCAAGGCGGCAGCCCCAACACAAGAGGAGTACCGCGAGGCCATGATGCAAATGAACATGCCTCCAGGTCACGTGATCCTCGACACAGGTTGCCGAACAGCAGTAGCCGGCAAGCTTTGGCATGTTGATTTCCAGCGTGCATTAGAGCAGTGTGGTATGGAATACTTCATGGCGGACCACGAGGAGATCTTTCGCTTTGGAGCTGGTGACCCTGTCTTGTCAACCAAGGCGTACATCTACCCCGTCCAGATCTATGACCACAAGAGTTGGGTACGCATTGCCCTGGTTGAGAACACCAGCACGGACAGCAGGGTATCAGAATGCCCTGGACTGGTGGGTCCGGCAGAGTTGGCACGCTGGAAGGTACAGATCGACTTCGCGACTCTGCAGGTTGGCATTCATGGCACTTGGAGGCCTACAGTGATGTCTCCATCCAGGCACCCGATTTTGGGTTTGCTCAATATGGGATCACACCCGAATCCCAAACAGTGGCGCATCAAGCCTTTGGAAGAACTCAGGCAGCGCCTGTTGAGCGATCCACACTCCTTCGCATTGGTTCAAGATGCCCTGGACAGCATCTCTGACTCTGGAAGTGAGGTGCCACAGGAGGTCCTGAAGGTCGCTGTGCATGGACCTGAAACCCAGCAGCAGCTGGCTATGTGGCAGGAGACGATGGAGGATGAAGCAATTGAGACATTGGATGCCATCAACGCCCCAAAGGTCTTCAAGCCACAACTGGATCCCATGAGCTCAGATGAGGGCTCCATCAGCGAGGGTGAATCCGAGACCTCGCATGATCCAGACCAGCAGGAGGAGGACTCCACGACCAGCAACGAGACCGAGGCTGAGGAGGAGTTCCACGAGATCCTGACATCCGGCTGCGCCGGCGAAACAGAGATCCTGAGAAAAGGCCAGCGCCGCAGGATCCTGGCTGCTGCCAAAGGCATCAGCGAGGCCGCAACGGCAGAAGCTGAGCGACGCTCCTGCCCTGAAAAAGTGCCTCGCATTCGTCGCCTTCGCACAGGTTACAAGATCCTAGAGATCTTCACCTGGAGTTGCCTCCTGTCAAGGTTTGCTTATGGTTTGGGTTGGGAGTATTTGGAACCCCTGACACTTCCGGGTTGGGATCTCAAATCCCCAAAAGTTGAGAAGGAAGCATGGGATTACCTCCACCGTGTGAACCCTGATTTCATCGCGGTTGCATGGCCACGCACGGAATGGACCATCATGCAAAACGCCAACCAGAAGACGTGGACACAAAAACAGGCACTTCTAGCACGGCGAGTTGAAGCTCGCAAACTACTTCGATTCACCCGCAGAGTCACATTGTGGCAGGTTCGGAGCGGTCGGGCCATTCTGGGTGAGAACCCACTGCTTTCATTGGCATGGAAGGAACCTGACATCATTGACGCCTTCGGTCATCTGGAAGAAGCTATTTGCGATCAATGTCAGTATGGACTTCGCCATCCAGAAAACGGCATGCCTATCAAGAAGCCCACGAGGTTTGTGGGTCAAGCTGAAGTAGTTTCGGAACTCCACCACCGTTGTCCTGGTGATCATCAACATCACCAGATTGAGGGCACTGTCAAAACCAGTGCCTATGGCAGAATTTCGCTTTCCTCTTGGGCAGGTGGCTACCCCCTGCCGCTGTGCCGCGCCATCATGCGAGGCGTGCACACCTTCTTGGACAAGCAGGCCAATGACACCCGCACAGAGGTCTATATGTTGGATGACCAGATGCCAGAAGAGGCAATCCAAGAAGGAGAGGAAGGCATCGATGAGGAAGAACAACGTATTCAATCCTACAAGGATGAGAGCGAGGATGATCTTGAAGAGGAGGAGAGGCGACCCATCTCTCAAGAGGTGAAGAGGGCTGTTGAATTTGCCCATCGGCAGTTGGGCCATCCCAGCAGGGATACACTTGTTCGCATGCTGCGAATTTCAGGAGCGAATGATGATGCAATCCGGCATGCTCGCCGATGGCATTGCGATGTCTGCAGGATGCAACAGCCACCAAAGCATCCACTCGCCACAACCGCTACTTCAAGACCATTTGCTTTCAACCGAGTTTTGCGCATTGACATCAAGTATCTCTTCGACACCCAGGGTCGGAAGTATCCTTGTTTGAGTATTGTTGACCTTGGAACTGTGTACCATGCAGGCTGCATGCTGAAGACCAGAAGGTCAGACTACGTCGCCCGCAAATTCTTGGTTCACTGGGTACAACTGTTTGGAGCCCCAGGACATATTTATCATGACCAAGGCGGCGAGTTCGAACTGTCTTTTACACAGCTTTTGGAGCAAATGGCTGCGCCCAGCACAGTCACCGGATCGCACGCCGGTTGGCAGTTGGCCGTCGGAGAACGGCGTGGGGGAATCTTGGGAACCATGGTTGGAGCAATCACAACCGAGCACGTCACAGAAGGTTTCCATGGTATGAAGTTGGCATTGAGCTCAGCGCTGGCAGCCAAGAACATGACCATTACCCGTGATGGTTTCAGCCCCAACCAGAGGTTGTTTGGAACGGAGGTCCGCTATCCCAGTCTTTTGGAGGACGATGTCAAGCCTAGCTTTGCAGAGAGCTTGGACACCGAGACTGAGTTTGCAAGATCCCACCGTATGAGAACCACTGCCAGGTTAGCGCTGATCCGGATGGATGTCCAGGAAAAGATGAAACGGGCCATTTTGAGGAAGCCCGGTGTGGACACAGAAGGTCCATATGTTCCTGGATGCCAGATTTACTTCTGGGTGCCCAAGAAAGCTTCAAGAAGATACAGTCGAGGAGGTATCTGGCGTGGACCTGCAACAGTTTTGGTTCGTGAAGGACACCAACGCTATTTTGCTAGCTGGAGAGGACGCGCCTTGCTCCTTGCAACGCCAAACATGCGTTTGGCTACAAAGGAAGAACTGGCCATGAATGAGCCCGCAAAAGAAGATGCAGAAACCATTGGCCAGATGCTTCGCGATCCAGAGCGTGATAACGCTTATCACGACCAAACCCATTTCAAAGGAGCTCCCAAGCGGAAGCACATCAGAGATGACCCTGAGCGTAAACGTGCCCGATTGATGATGCGAGGCACCAAGTCAATCCGGGAGTTGCTCAGGAGCAGGTTTGGCTTCAAAGAACAGCTCAGGAAGCGCAAGGTGCCGCTCCAGCCGCCAGAGAAAGGAGATCCGGTAGCACCGAGAAACAAAGTTAAGGAGGCCCTACCTCCACCGCCTGCGGCGGAGTCTCAAGACTCAATGGAGGAGTATACACCTTCTCAAGCGCCAGAGCCAGAGGCTCCACAGGAAGGCCAGCGGCCTATGCTTCCTGCTCCAAGTTCAGCTCCAGCGGAGCCACCTACAGAAGCCCCGCGAGCTGAAGATGTTCCGGTGCCACCCATGGATGAGAATGAGTGGTTGGAAGAATACAGACATCTCCCTCAGGAAGAACGCCGTCGCATTCTTCAAGATGATGTCCCACATGGGATCAAAAGGAAAGGTGGCATCACTGAAGAAGATGCTGATCGAGCAGTGAAGCGCCTCAGAAGCAACTTCTGCGCAGCGACTGCAGCCAGTACTGTGTATGGAACCCTACAGAATGAGTGGGTTTCTCGTTATGAAGTGGAACTGCTAAGACAGCTGACAGGGTTGCCTGTTACAGCAGCCCGCATTCACAGAGCGCCACGGAAAAGGCTGCAACGACCCCCGAAGATGGTGTCGCGCTCCCGCTTGAGTATCCTCATTGGAAAGGATCCAGCAAGCACTTTCATTGTTAACGAGAAGGACGCAGAGGTTGCAGCCCATCCCCGTCGGCGAGCCAGCTTCGAGTGGCGGGGTCTTACGATGTTCTATCGCACTGAAGACCCAAGCCAGCCTACGGAGGTATTCGTCGAACTGCCAGACGGCATTCATGGGGTGACGCTCACCACCAGTGAGGCAGTAGAGTTCCAGCAGATGTGGCTGGAAGAAATGCACGATACCCTCCTTGCTGAAGTGATGGTTTTGAGGATGAAACAGAGTGGAAAAGAGCTAGACCCTAGTTTCTTTGACGCCTTTGAGCGACAGGCCTTCAACAAATCGGACATCAAAGAATGGTCCGAATGGATCAAGAACAAGGTCGTCCGGAGGGTGGAAAAGGGCGAGTACGTCCCGCCTTCGTGCATCTTTAGAGCGCCGCTGCGCATGTTACGGGTGAACAAAGCAGCAAGCCCACTTCTGCCTTTGGTGGCCAAGTCACGGCTGATTGTACCAGGTCATTTGGACCCACACCTGGGTGAGTTCCGCACTGACTCACCTACTTGCCCTCAGGCTGCAGTTCGAGCAGCAAAAGCTATTGCTGCTGCCCGCGGATGGGGAGGAGTGACATTCGACGTCGCGACTGCATTTTTGAGTGGGAAGGAAACTTCTCGTAAGCTGTACATCCGAGCACCTCGTGAGGGTTTGCCACCGGCAATGGGATGGCCACCCATCAAGTCAGGAGAGTTGCTTGCGATTCTCAAAAGTGCCTATGGTCTCACAGAGTCCCCAAGGTTGTGGTACCTGGAGGCAGTGGATCGACTTAAGGGCACTCCCCTCAAAGAGCTAGCAGTTAGCCGCTCTACTTTTGTTGCCGGAGGCTCCCGGAGTGAACGATGTTTGGAAGATAGCTGGGCAATTCTTTGCTTACACGTTGATGATGGTTTATTGCTTGGCGATCTCAGCGACCCTCGGGTCATCGCCCTACGCAAACAAATCGACAACCTGTTCACCATCAAGGAATGGAAAGAAGTCACTGCAGAGAAACCAATTCAATTCCTGGGTGTTGAAATCACTAGGGATTCCTTTGGATTTCATGACGACATGAGCAGGTACATCAAAGAAATCAAAGTCGAGAAGCTGCAAGGGGAAGGTCTTTTGGGACCTCGTGAAGTCACACTATACCGCCAGTTGGTTATGCGTCTTCGTTGGCCGGCACAGCAAACAATGCCACACATGCTGTACGAAGTCTCCAACCTGGCGCAGAGGGTGACAAAGGCAACCCACGCAGACTACAAGGAGGCAGTGAAACTGCATCAGAAGTTTGTGGAAGAAGCCACTGCTGGACGAGCCAGACTGACCTATCCACCGCTGGACAAGAACAACAAGTGGTTCTATGTCAGCTACTTCGATGCGTCCCTCGGAAAAGAGTCCGATGGAAAGTCACAGCTGGGTGCCGTACACTTTCTCACCACAGCAGCAGCTCGTACAGGACCGGCTGCCACCGCGCCAGTTGAATTCAGTACAAACAAGAGTTCTCGAGTACTGCGCAGCTCGATGTCTGCCGAAGCATGCTCAATGAGCATTTGCGTGGACCGCCATTTGTATGGTCGACTTGTTATCGACATAATGCTCTACGGGTACAAGACTCTGGATGAGAATTGGCGGACCACAATGGGAATTTCTGGAGGCGTTGTCACTGACGCCAAGAGCCTGTATGACCACATGGGTACAACAGGACAGATCCCGACAGAGCGGCAGACCATGCTTGACTTGATGGTGGCTCGTGACCACCTCGAGTCAGGTGCCTACGAATTTTTCTGGGTTCCAACTCACCGCCAACATGCAGATGGGTTGACCAAGAAGATGAAGAACATCCTATGGGAGACCTTCTGCAAGCTCCCCAGGATTTCTCTCAAGGAGACCGAGGACGAGCGGAAGCTAGAGGAGCACAGGAAAGGTTTGAGGAAGGCACAGCGACAGCGTCGCAAGGACCGCATGAAGGGCCGCGAACCTTCTCAGGCAGCGCCTGCTCGTGTACAGTATGTACAGCTGCAATCACGTCAACACACTTTTCTGGCTATGTGAAGATCATAGCTAGGTACAGATAGGTAGCTTGACATGATTGCTTTCATGCATGAACCCGCACCGCAGCTTGACTCAAGCGACTTGCGTTGGAAACACCGCGTGTTTCGTTGCGCGTTTGCCCCGCGTTTTCTTTCTAGCTGACGCTACCCTGTGCACTCCGCATTTGGAACCTTTGATTCATCCTTGAATCGAAGATGTAAGCTTCTGTAGCACCCCTGGCATACAAGTCTTTGGAGGCACTTGTGAGTATGGGAAGCCCAGAAAGGCAACGGCAACGAGAGACCTACAAACAGAATGGCGGTCAACCAAGAAAGCTCCAGACCTACTTTTCTCAAACACCAGACATCCAGTTGTTTTAGGGACACGCATTGACATGGACACACAGAAAAGCCCACAGCTCCCCTACGGCTCTTTGATAGCTCACTGAGGCGCCGAGCTGATCGAGCTCATGTCATGGCTCGGAAAACCCAGCTTATTTTCAGTTGGGAACGCTTCCAAGTGCAAGCTTGGAAGCCATGACAGGTAGACAAGAGGATTTGCCGAGACCATGTTTGGGCCTTTCTGTTGGGGCGAGTTTCAACTTTAGCGCTATATATAGGTGATCATTGGGATCCTGGCAATTTTTAGTGCTGATCCTGTTGCAGTGGGGTGCCCCTGCCGTGTTTCAACATGAAGCTTAAACAGCTACACATTGACCGAACGTACAACGTGGTAAAGCTGGGTCCTGGGAGTACAGTTTGTGTTGTTTGCCAGCCACTTGCTGAAACGAAAGGACCCTGTTTGTTCAAACGATTTTGTGTTTTTGGATTTCTTAATTTAGATATTGTGAAGATTTCAGGCTTTGCTAAGCTTTGCTGTGAACAGTTTTCCAAAAGGTGTGCTACTCCGAAGCATCCCGAAGCGAGATATCGCAATGCAACATTTTGATAGAGATGCATGGCATAAGCCTAGACCATTTCCTGCTGCCTTTTGGCCACGCTGGCCTCTTCCTCCTATCCGTCTCCAACTTTCCCAATTTGGTCATCGACGGGTCGACGGGTCCCAGCTTCGCCGACCCGAGGTGTTTCGCTCGATGGCCATGTCGCGCCGGTGGAGGCTGCGCTTGGCAGGCTGACCAAGACGGCTGACTTCGGCATGATTGGCATGTGTTGACTGAGAAGAAAGATTAGAGCAAGTTGTTTTAAAAAGAATGACTCTGATGCAAAACTGAAAAGCTATTTCCTGGGTCACAGGGACACTGCACCAACCGTCAAACCACAGTCCTTCCATTGTCCACACTGTTTGACCAATCCTTCCTGTTTGGTTCAAAAAAGCATCTTCCGCCTGGTGCGCGCCGCCATAGAGTTCCTCTACCACGGTGCAAGATCTTCTCATGGCACCCCCTCGTCAAAGTCCGATTGCTTGGCCGGCTAAGGTGACTCGGTTTATTGCTAGGTTAGGCAACGGTTTGACGCCTTGTGGATTTTGAGGAATGGAATTGGGCTGTTTGGTTTGCCCAGAATTCGGGTGCGACATATTGCATCCCATGTTTTGTTTTTTAAAGGAAGTTCCGGAGGTTAGGCAATGGTTAGGCAATGGTTTGATGCCTTGTGGATTTTGAGAAATAGAATTGGGCGGTTCGGTTTGCCCAGGATTGGGGTGCGACATGCATCCCATGTTTGTTCATTTAAACACGGAAGTTCTGTAAAATCGATTTCAAAGTGGCCATGTTGGAAGGTGAACAGTTTGAGGCATTAAGCGGGTTGTGAGGAATGGAACTGATCATTGGGTGGTGTTAATTTGCCCAAATGGGGTGTGACATACCAACCATTCCTTTGTTTAAGGATGTTTAGAGGAAATTCCCTAAAATCGATGTCAAAACGGCTTTGCCTTTGCCGATGGTGTCCGCCCGGGTGCCGCCCACCTTTTCTGCCGCCTCCCTTTTTTGTGGAAACTCCGTCTCCGAGTTTGATCGGCAACGGCGTGAACTGGACGACCGGTACGGGCGCCGCTGGATCGCTGCGGAAGAGCGTCTTTTGTGGACCGCGTTGGAGGCGCCCCGAAGATCGGAAGCCGTGGAGCCGTGGATCGGTGCCATCACCCGGCTCTCGGAGGCGGTGCTGAGAGAGGACCTGGAAAAGGCGGACAACGTGGTGAATTTGGCTTCCAAGTTCAATCTCTTGAATTCCCTAGATAAAGCCTTCCTGGAGACTTTGAAAGGAGAGCTTCTTCCACAGCGGTTGACCGCCGTGGCATCCTTGCAGCGAACGGGAATCCCCGAGGCCGTGGAAGTGCTTGGCCTGGTGCTCCGGGAACTTTGGGCTCGCGTCACGGGAGGCAACTCCAAGCTCTCTAGCCAAGGGACAGCGCAGTTGCAGCGACTGCTGGATTTGACGAAGAAGGCCATCGCAGACTGGGAGCGAGTGAAGGATCCAAACCAGATCGAGTGGTGTGGCCACTTCTGCGGACCGATTTGGTCGCTCCGGCAGAGTGGTGGCGAGGGTCCTCCGGGTCCTGTGGACTACGACGTGGCCAAGCAGGATTTGAGAGATCTGGTGGAGAAAGCCCAAGGCATTCTGACTTCAAGGCAGCTTCCAGTGGATCAGCCGCACCGAGGAGGTGCAGAACCAGCAAGTGAAGGTGCGAGACCAAGTGCACTGGAGGTGGAGGATGAGCTTCGACTGATGAGACAAGACTTGAATGAGTTGAAGGACTTGACGTTGAGGTTGAAGGAAGAAGTGTCAACATCTCATCAGGACAAGTTGCAGATGAAGGAGGAGTTGGAGAAGCTGATGTCGGAGAATGGCACTTTGAAATGCCAGGTGACGGAGATGGATGACAGGTTGAAGAAGATGGAACACGAGTCTTCAGCTGAGAAGGAGCTGCACCAGAAACTGCAGTGTGAAAACCTGAGGATGAAGGATGAGCTGATGGAGCTGCAGAATGAGAAGCTGAAGATGAATGAGGAGAGCTTGAGGCACCAAGTAGCCCATGTTGAGGATGAGATGAAGGAGTTGAAGAAAGAGATCTTGATTGCTCAGGAAAGTCAGCAGAGCCTGGCAGATTTACAGGTCGAAGCGAATCAACTAGTGCACATTGACGAGGATCTCAGGACATTGGAATCAGAATTGCTGAACACCAAGTTTGAATTGAAGGAGTTCAGATTGAAACATGACGCGTCCGGTGTGAAAGCAGGTTTTGAGAAGCTGGAGTTGCAGAGAGAGCTTCTCAACATGAAGAAACATTTGCATGAGGTGAGCATGAAGTATGATCGCTTCACCTTCAATGGCAACTTGAAGATGAAGAGAGGCGTGGGTGAGGTAAAGCTGCTCAGCGAAGGTTTGGGCTTCTCAGTAGACACAAGTGGCCCCCATTGCTTCATGGTCGATGCCATCTTGAAGACACCGCTTGGCTCCTTCTTGAGCGGTCAGCAGTTGTGCCTAAGCTGGAAAATGTCTTAAACAACAAGAGTAGGTGTCAAGGCAGTGTTAAAAAAGCTTCGCCGCTATAGTATCGAAATCATGTCAAAGCCCAGCGCACCGACATATGACCATCACCGGTTATGGTGTGACCTATAGCAACCCAAGAAACGCAAACGCTATCAGACGGTGATCCTTTCAGCTTCAGGTCGAAAGGCACTGAGATCCTCGCGGCCGACGGGTCCACCGTCTTGGTGGTCGCTTCTGATCCGGAGCCGCACAGCGCGAGGGACGGTGATCCTTGAGGCGCAAGAAGCTAAACTGCAAGTGACGCGTGATCACCGCATTCCGCTGGCCTCCGGTCACCCCGCAACTCTTCTGCAATCATTTGGAGTCTGTAGAGTCGTTTGTAGAACGGTCTTCACTAGGTGAACGTGACCTTTTTTGCTTGTTTTGCATTTTCAGACGAAGAACTCATGGATATTCATGGCCTCTTGACTTCTCTGCAGGTGCCAGCAGCGCAGCTAAAAGTGGGAGATGAGGTTGTAGTCGACGGTGTTCCCACGAAGCTGACTTCTGTCCACTCCATCCCAGGCGAAGTGCGGGTTTTGAAGATCACCTTCCAGCCGGACCTGCCAGTGGCGGTGTTTCATCCTCAGCCATGCATCCATAGCCTTGGTCACAAGCCCAAGAAGCCTCACCGTGGCGGAAAGCGTCATCGCATGGTCAATGATGGAGCAGATTCTGCCAGTATCCCGGACACACAGGGCTACTTAACTGACTGAAGCCTGGCTTTTGCCAAGGAAACTTTTTCTTCACATGTGGATTTGTATGCTTTTCACAAGAACACAACACTGCAGAGTTGCCAAGTAAAGATTTGTGTATTAATCATATTAATCTTGATTGTTCATGTCAGCAACTGTGGGGATGTGCGCCCGCCGGCTTTGCAAAGGAGCAGAAGATTACGTGTGAATTGGAGCGTGAGTTGACAACGCTGAGTGCACTTCTCACCCTTCAATTTGCTTCAGTTGGAAGCCTTTGGCAAAGGGACACCCCATGGGTCAGTGAAGGCTTCCGTGGATTATACCGATGTTTTTGTTTGAGAGCTCGACGTTATGCGGGTGTGGTTTTTACGTGCTTTTGTGGTGTTTTTCTGAGATTTTGTCATGTTTAGTCAGAGTTTCCATGGTTATAGTCTAGATATGTTCTTGTGCTCCTGTTTCCTAAACAAAACCAACTTTTCTTGTTTAAAAAACCTCTGGATCCAACTCTACCCTTCCTTGCCCATAAGCATTCTCATTGTTTCAAAGGTAGCACTTTTTGGGCTTCTCCCTCCACATTCTTTATGAAATGGGCTTCTCCCTCCACATTCTTTATGAAATGGAGAGAAGATCATTATCTTGAAACAAATGTGCCCACCACGCCCAACAAAAGTTGAGAAACTTGCTTAGTAGTACTGGACCTGGATGACTGATTGGAATTGGGTTTTGCATGGCCTTCTTGACGTCCATACCCATAATAAGCCTCATCCTCATTCTCAGGGTCACTTGGGAGCTCACATCCTATCCCACAAGTTCGATTGGACCAATCCTGCTCATCTCCACTGCTCTCACCCAATGGCTCTTCAGAT